GAAGGAGCTCCCTCTTCCCCCTACCCCCGTGCCGACCTACTGAACTTGTGTGCCACTCTCTTGTGCTTTGTCCCAGGACAAACGGGCGCAGGCAACAACTGGGCAAAGGGGCACTACACGGAAGGGGCCGAGCTGGTGGATTCCGTGCTCGACGTGGTGAGGAAGGAGTGTGAGCACTGCGACTGCCTGCAGGGCTTCCAGCTCACGCACTCGCTGGGCGGGGGCACGGGCTCAGGCATGGGCACGCTGCTCATCAGCAAGATCCGCGAGGAGTACCCCGACAGGATCATGAACACCTTCAGCGTCATGCCGTCGCCCAAGGTGTCGGACACGGTGGTGGAGCCCTACAACGCCACGCTGTCGGTGCACCAGCTGGTGGAGAACACCGACGAGACGTACTGCATCGACAACGAGGCCCTGTACGACATCTGCTTCCGCACGCTCAAGCTGACCACGCCCACCTACGGCGACCTCAACCACCTGGTGTCGGCCACCATGAGCGGCGTCACCACCTCTCTGCGCTTCCCGGGCCAGCTCAACGCCGACCTGCGCAAGCTGGCCGTGAACATGGTGCCCTTCCCGCGCCTGCACTTCTTCATGCCCGGCTTCGCGCCGCTCACGGCCCGCGGCAGCCAGCAGTACCGCGCGCTCACCGTGCCCGAGCTCACGCAGCAGATGTTCGACGCCAAGAACATGATGGCGGCGTGCGACCCGCGCCACGGCCGCTACCTGACCGTGGCCACCGTCTTCCGGGGCCCCATGTCCATGAAGGAGGTGGACGAGCAGATGCTGGCCATCCAGAACAAGAACAGCAGCTACTTCGTCGAGTGGATCCCCAACAACGTCAAGGTGGCCGTGTGCGACATCCCGCCGCGCGGCCTCAAGATGGCCTCCACCTTCATCGGCAACAGCACGGCCATCCAGGAGCTGTTCAAGCGCATCTCGGAGCAGTTTTCCGCCATGTTCCGGCGTAAGGCCTTCCTGCACTGGTTCACGGGCGAGGGCATGGATGAGATGGAGTTCACCGAGGCCGAGAGCAACATGAACGACCTGGTGTCGGAATACCAGCAGTATCAAGAAGCCACGGCCAATGATGGCGAGGAAGCTTTTGAAGACGATGAAGAGGAGATCAATGAATAGAGGCGCATCCCAGTCTCAGATACCACAAATCCGATGTTGTTTCTCTAACTCCGGAGCATCGTGACCCTGCTGGCCACCACATGGTGCTCTGCTCTAAATATGTGGGTATAGGCCCCTCACCAATGCAACAGAATTGCACTATCAGTCATCTGGAAGGAAGAAAGTACATCGGAATAGCAGAGAATCGGCAGTCCTACCCAATCAAAAGATCAGACCACAGATCTTCTACTGGAGGACTTGAAACAATAAAGGGGCCATCAAGGAAGAGCTACATGAATTGACCTCACCTTCTGTCAAGTGTTCAACCATGCTGAGAATTAGCAAGGAAGTTAGAAACAGTGTTTTTCATCCTTTGTGATGAAACCTGAAGCTGTGCAGTGTTGCCTTATATTGAAAATGCAATATGGAACTTTAAAACAACCAATTCATAATAAAACACTAAAACCATTCCTTTGCCTCTTCCAGCCTGTTTCCTGATAGATTTGTTTGCGTTGTTATAATGGTTACTTGGGTACCTTGTCTCTTTCTGGGGTGAACTGCCCCTGCCACTCAGTGAATGAACTCAGAGGAAAGGCTTTCCTTGAACTGCAGACCTTAAGGGTGGCAGCCAGAATTCTCCTGAGCATCAGAGTAGCACACATGTAAATAAAAGCCTGTCGTCCCCTTTTGCAACCAGCACTTAGACCTCCCACAAAATCTTTCATCTTCCAGTGTCACGTCCTGGGCTAGTTAGTCCCAACCTTCCCTGACAGCTGGGCTACGATTTGCCAGAGGAGCTACAGAAAATGACCTCCAGGCTTCCAGCCAGAGCCAGGGGGACATGCAAGCTCTTGGTGGGTCAGGAGGGACCTGGCAGGGTCGGCTCTGAGAGCTGTGTGCTTCCTTCAGGAGTACTCAGGCTCAGTGCCAAGGTTGAGGGCTATTTTCTATATAGCAAATCATCACTTTACAGTTTCTCTAACTTGACACAACTTCTGTAAGAGGTCTTGTAAAGTCAAACTCCATAGGACATGACCAGGCTAGTCCTACTAGTAATTAGCAGACATTGCCGTTCACCAGTGTTTCTGGTTTATTTCTCCTTTCTGCCCCTTTGAGGTTAACTGTGAACATGACTTTGCTTCAGCCAAAAGAATGAGTAGCATGTCACTTCCAGGTGGAAAGGTCTAAATGCTAGTGCTCAACCCTCACCTCTGCCTCTGCTGGATTCCTCCATCAGTCTGGGTCCCGGTAACTGCTGAGCACAGCCCCCTCTGACCTTTGTTGGACAAGGAGCGAGAAAGAAATGACTGTCATTTGGAGTCATTCTGGGGTTACCCCACAGTGTAACCTAGCTCCCCCACCTGACAGAAGGCCTGAGCTCTGTGATGCCATGGCTTACACCCAGTAACTATCCTGTGCCGAGCCCCAACCTTGGGTAGATGGAAAGGGAATCACTAAACACAGCAGCATGACTTGAACTGCAGTGAAAACGGACCCCATTTCTGCAGAAATCTGCACTACACTTTGTGAGACTACAGTAAAAATAAGTATCTTACCACCCACATCTAACCTGGAAATACGCTAGGTTTGACCTTGGAAGAAAGGATGAGTGCTGTGAACCCCTGGTTTGAGTCAGGCTCCATGTGGGAGCCAGCATGAGCATTGGTCACGACAATGCTGTGGGCCTCCTTGTGCAGGTCAGGAAACCCGAGGATGGCTGTGGTAGCTATTCCAGGCCACGCGGGCTGCCTTCTCAAGACTCCACAAGCTTGAATTAGAAGTGCAGATGTGAGTTACCATCTGACCAACCATCTCACGCACGGCTTTGTCCCTTTTCTGACTGACCAAACCTGACTCATGTTTGGCACCACCCACTTCATTCCACTCAGGAGGCCTCACAGCAGAGGGCTCCCAAACCTCCACACTTGCCGGCGCCCCTCCTCACAGTGGTTAAGGAAGTACAGTCTTATTGTCTACGGATCGTGTGGGGAACAGCACAGACATCCTGATGGCCAAGTGAATCATACAGCCTTCAAACAATTCTTCACTGAATCACCTCCCACAAACATCCTTTGAGGAAGGAAGGCAGTAAATCTGTTACATCTGCAGGTCACTGGGCAGAGCAGCTGAGAAACTGCAGGATGACCTGAGGAAGGCTCCCATGCTCCTGGAATACTGAGTTACTAGCATCCACGCAGATGGTTCTGTGGTCTGGTGAGCTGGAGCTCGGCATCTCTGGGCCACCTGGAGGAGTGGTCCAGGGTCAGAGCAGCCTGCCCATACCACCTCCCTCCCCATTGGTCCAGTGCTGTTCCAGGGATGCCATCTCAATCTATGTCTGAAGTCTGAGAAGTGGTTGTTCCCACAATATACTTAACTGCATCAAGAACACACAAGGCAAGCTGAAATAACTGAGATCCAATGTGATGGTTTGGGACCTGCCGGACCTATGATCACACTGACTTCTAGACCCAGATGCCAGGACCAACGTCTGGTCACGACCAGCCTAGTGAGGATGTAAACTGATGCCATCATCAGATTCTTGCACTGACTTTGTATCAATGTACTTTTATATCCAGAGTTCATCATTCCAGAATGTACGACTCCAGAAGTTCGCAAGCCTCTTGTGGGAGCTGGTAAGAACCAGCAGGAGTGAGGTTTTAAAGGATTCGTCTCTCCAAAGTTAGAACACTTAATTCCTTTCCATTATGTTTTCTAAAAGAAAATACCCCAAGGGGCACCTGAGTGGCTCAGTCGTTAAGCGTCTGCCTTCGGCTCAGGTCATGATCCCAGGGTCCTGAGATCGAGCCCCACATCAGGCTCCCTGCTCAGCCAGGAGCCTGCTTCTCCCTCTCCCACTCCCCATGCTTGTGTTCCCTCTCTCGCTGTGTCTCTGTCAAATAAATAAAATCTCTAAAAAAATAAAATACCCTAAGCATAAAACAGTGACCCTTTGTTGAGTTCAGAAGGAAAAAAGTACCGTACACTTTATTTTTGATGTAAAGAAGCCGTATTTACATAATACATTCATATCTGTAGATCTGTTACAGCGCTCTGTAGAAAACCATTCCATTAAAACAGCAACATGTGATCTGGATTCAATCTTTGAAGTATTAAGCCAAATTAAAATATTCTTATCAGGACTCCAATGTAATTTCACAGCTCATCCACAGAGGGAAACTCTGAAGAGAAGCAGGAATGAAGAGGGGGTGATGGGACGAGAATAACACACCTCTTCCACACCAGCAAGTCTCCACGGATGGTCGGTTGGTCTCCGCCACACATCAGCTGGCACCACAGATGGTGGAGGGAGTGGCGCTGGGTGCCCTCTCCATGCTCCCGGCCGCTGAGAGCCTGGCGGGCTCGGGGAAACATTCTCCTTCAGAAAGTCACCCTGCCACCCAGGCTGTGACTCCAGAGGCTTAGGACTAAGGACTCCTCTTCCCACCATCTCAACCAGGTCAGCAGATGGTTATGATCAACCCCGCAGTGTCCTTATTCCTCTGAGAAAGCCAGAGTCGACCTTGACAAAGGCACAAGCTAAAATGGTCTCCCTTCTCGGATCTGGTTGGTGATTTTCTCATCCCGGAGCTCCTCTTTCTCCTTCTCCCGTTCTTTGTTCCAGTCCTTAAGGCCCTCTGGAAGCGAAGTGTCCTCATCCAAGCTGCCAGTGCCTTCTACAAATTCTTCATAGGTAGACTTTTCCGCAAATGGCCTGGGGCCCAAAAGTTCAACCATATCATTCTTATCTAACACTTCTTTTTCTAATAATAGAAGAGCAACCTGAAATATGAACAATTTCCATTAAACACAGTTTCTTAGCAAAGTTTTTGCAAAGCTAATGATTTTTTTATTTATAGCTAACCCCACTCCAAAATAGGATTTAAGACCACTGAAAAGATATAGATAAGATCCCAGGATTTTAGAGTAAAATAAACAAAATATTGGAAAAAACAAATGTCCACCAGTAAGGGAGGGGCTAAATACATTTGGATACATTCACACAATGAACAATTATGCACCTGTAATGAAGAATCTGTTATATATACATCTTGGAGAAACATATTCAGTGAGAAAAGCAAGATGCACACCCTTTATGGTATGCTACATTTGCCTTTAAAAGGAGAGGAATATAAATCTTTTTATGTGCTTACATGTACATAAAGAAGTTCTGGAAGGATACATTACAAACTTAGAAAAGTGGCTGGGAGGGCAAGCTGGGGGAAAGGGGAGAAAGAGGTAAGCAAGAAATTTTTAAAAAGTTAGTTGAAAAAATAAAGACAAGGACAGAGATACCAGGAAGGTTTATACGAAAACATGTATCTTGAAGTTCTAGTCATTTCTATGCTTGAACCACAAATTTGACAGTACACATCTTAACAGGACACTGGGAAAGCTGACCAACTATGTGTATGGAGGTGAGTGAGGGTGTCAGGGTGGAGCAGGACAATGGCTATTAGAGCATCTGACCATTACAAAGACAGCAAAGCAGGTTAAAATATCAACTGATCTCATAAAATAGATTTAGTTTCTAAGGTAACTCCCTACTTAGAAATTTGACTTAGCTGCACTTTTATACTAGATACCCTGTTTTTAAAGATACCAAAAAATGAATCAATTTTATTGTTTTATCAGTTTATGGAATACTGCAAATATGCACAAAAGCAGAAAATGGATAACGAATCCCCATGCAGCCACTACTGACAGTCCTCAACTGAGAGCCATTTTTGTCTCATCTACTCCCTAGATTACCCTGAAGAAAATCCCAGCTGTCATATTTTATCCATATATATTTTTGTCTCTATTTCTAAGAGATAAAAACTCTTAAAAACATAACCAGGTTGTCTTCTTAGACCACCATTAACTCTCAATTTGTCTATTTACACATTATGCGTAACCATTTACATTGCAATAATACGTTTTATTTAACCCAATATATCAAATGCAGTATCATTTTTCACAAAGATTTATTTATTTTAGAGAGTGAGAAGGCGGGGGAGGGGGGCAGAGAGAGAGAGAGGAGAGAGAGAATCTCAAGCAGACTGAGCCTGAGTGCAGAGCTCAATGTGGGGCCTGATCTCATGACCCTGCGATCATGACCTGAGCTGAAATTAAGAGTTGGACACTCAACTGACTGAACCACCCAGGTGCCCCCAAACACAGTATCGTTCTAACATGTAATGATATAAACAATTACTGAGATATTTTACCTTCCTTTTTTCATAGCAAGCCTTTAAAACCCAGCGTGCTCAGAGCACACTTCACTTGGGACTAACCACATTCAACAGCACAGGCTTGGTCGGAGGTTAACGGGAAGGGCTCTGCAGACAGGACACGGGGTCCAAATCCTGGTCTTGCTGCTTACCAACTGTATGACCTTAAGCAAAGTTACTTAACCTCTCCCTGTACTAGTTTCTTCTTTTGTAAAATGGGATGATAGTGTTTCCACCTCCTAAGGCTGCAGGGAGCTTTAGAGAAGTTCATGCATCTTAAGCGGTACCCGGTACACCGGGTGGATGATAGGTGGATGCTAGCTGGTTACTCTTATTCTCCTAAAGCTTAGCCCTGATGTATTATCCTGTCCAGCAGAGGAGTCAATTGAGGCCCTGAATTTGGAGGACACTAGTCCTAGCAGGAGAGTCTCCAGCCACCTCTCCTCTTGATGGCTCCCCATCTCCTGGCGGGCTCAACATTACTCTTTACAGATTTAATTTTCTCAAATGGGCCAAACAGTACTTCAGGACTCCGCAGTGTTTCCAGATCCTCACTCCGCTGAATCCATTTCCCTTTCCCACACACGTCTTTGTTACCACTGTCACTATATGCACTGTACGTTCAGAAGGCTAGATAACTGGGTCCAACTCCCTGGACCTGTTTGGCATCTATGGTGTGCACGTGGAAGCTTCCTCTTGAATCCATGAATGCACACTGTCCTCTGCAGCTAGGGGTCTCGAGTGAGCTCCTCCACAGTCCTCCATGGCTCAGGTCCTTCTTTTCTACATCTGGCTATGGGGGGACCACCAACAGATCCTATCTCCAGGCTGGACTTGCTGTCCACATTTCATTCGCAAATGCCCACTGCTTGTGTTCTCCTGGGTTCAAGACTGATCCCCACCCTCTGTGTTTGCCACCAGGAGTCATCATCTCAAGGGCTTTCTTCTCGTTCACTCTGTGCATTTAACCAATAAATCTCAGTTTGTTTCAGATCTGCCTTTGCCCTACTTCCAGTGCTGGCCCCAGCACTGTGTCCGACTGAGCGACCGGCACCAGCCCCTGAGCCAGTCTCTGCCACTCCCTGGGCTGCCACACTCCCGCAAATGATGAACTTCTTCATTTCAACACTCTTTAAGGACTCCTTGCTATAAAACAAAGGGCTGGATCAGATCATTTTGAAGGTCACTCTTATTTCTAAAACTGTGTTTCTAAACTTCCTAGCTAGCTTTTGAGAACCTGGGTACTGCAGCTCCCTCCCCCCAACTATCTGCTCAACCCTGCCCTGCTCCCCACACACCTCCTGCTCACCAGGCCTCCACATCGCCCTCTGCTCCCCACCCCAACTTGTTCACTGTAACGTGACTACTCTTCTACATAAAATCTAAGTTCTATCTTCTATACGAAGCCTTCGCTGACCACTCTGATCTTCCTTTCTCAGAGCTCGTGTGTGTGGGGCGCCAGCCCTCTCCGCCTGCACTGGGCACTTTCGCGAAAAGACATCACAGATACTTCTGGATTGCCTTACTGATGGAACAGCACATCTTGGAATATTCTTTTATCCGTGTCAATCCCTCCTAAAAGGCTTTCTCATTTGTGCTCTAGGAGTGCGGAATGTTCAAAGAACAAAAAATTCTATTTTTGGTTGCATGGGTTCTGAATAATTGAGTTTAATGGATGCAAGAAATCCACCGAATTCAGAGGGAAACCCTCCCTTTGGTAGGTGCTATCATATGAAGTAGGACAGAAAACACAGAGCATGTTTATTTGCCAAGCTCATAATTAAGCCAAAGGTAATTTTCATGTGCCAATTTCATGTGGGCTAGCTCTTATTTGCACTTTCATCACTACCTGTTCATGCCAGAGGTGAAAGACAACGGTAAATCCCTGTCAGTCCGCTGTGCTCCTTACTGAGGAGTACGGGTAAAACACACGAAGGGGGGAGGGAGGCCTCAGCTGCATATTTTGTGGTTATCTGCAGATTCCATGAATCCTGCACTCACACTGCTAACAGCCCAAGAGCCAGGACTGTGTCCTACTGTTGCTCACTACTGCACCCCCACCCCTCAGAGACAGAGCAGACACAGAATCAGAATGAGTTAGCCCGCTACAGGAAATGCTCAAGTCTATAAACTAGCCCAGTCAATCCATCACTTTAACCTTTCTTCTTTTTTTTTTTTGGCAAAACCACGTAGAGAATTATTCATACGACTAGCACCTACCTTCTCCACATCAGCTTTCTTCTCTGTGAGGAGAGCCACTGTCCTTTTATAAGCATCATTAATAAGTATTCGTACTTCGTCATCTATCAGTCTTGCGGTGGCTTCGCTGTAAGGCTTCTCTAAAACCATATCACCCTGACGTGGGAGATCAAAGGAGATTTGCCCAACCTTTTCATTCATGCCAAACTGAACAATCTGGAAAAGAACACATGATTATTAGTGGGCATTGGTTTTGCTGACAGGCTGACCTAAAAAATGGCAGTAAGTCTTTATAGTGGCATTAACTCCACACATTTCATTGTACTACCACTCTTTAACCTGGCAAAATCTACATGGCAGCCTTGTGTTGGCTGAATGGACAAGGGTGTTCTATGTAGACAGTGCAGCAATACTCAATTAGGGACACAAGACAAGAAGCCCATGGACAACATCTATGAGACCCGCAAGATACTTCTCCCTGCGCGAGGGGAAGCAGAGAAGCAAGAAGGATCTGACAGACCCAAGAGGATAAAACCCACGCCCTCCAGGCTCTTCCTGGAAAGGGCAGTGTGCCAACCTAGAAGGGAGTTTGCATTTTCCTGTTCCCTCAAGCCACGGGGTCTGCCCCTCAAGGCTTTCTTAAAGACTTTTTTTTTTTTTTTTTAAGGGGCACCTGGGTGGCTCAGTCCGTTGAGCGTCTGCCTTCGGCTCAGGTCATGATCTCAGGGTCCTGGGATCAAGCCCCACATCAGGCTCCCTGCTCAGCGGCCAGTATGCTTCTCCCTCACCCTCTGCCCCCCCCACCACTCGTGTTCTCTCGCTCGCTCCCTCAAATAAATATTAAAAATAAAATAAATAAAAATAAACAAATAAATAAAAAAGACTGGAAAAGGTGACAGACCAGAAGAAGAGCTGACATACGGGTTATAGGAGTTTCCAGAGAAAGTCATTTATATGAAGTTCCGAGACAGCAAAACTCTATTGTTTGGGGATGTATGCACCAGGGATAAACAAGGAAAATGTGGGTATGACAGTAACAAGTCAGGAGAGTGGCTGGTCCGTCAGGAAGGGAGGGGACCAAGAAGGGATGCTCTTAGGGACAGCCCAGAGTACAAGCAGTGTTGCACTGTGGGATCACAGAGGCTTCTAACAGAACTTTAAACTCTGCATACCCACTTTATAGACTCTTTTTTTTTTAAAGATTTTATTTATTTATTTGAGAGAGAGAGAATGAGAGACAGAGAGCATGAGAGGGGGGAGGGTCAGAGGGAGAAGCAGACTTCCTGCTGAGCAGGGAGCCCGATGCGGGACTCGATCCCGGGACTCCAGGATCATGACCTGAGCCGAAGGCAGTCGCCCAACCAACTGAGCCACCCAGGCGCCCCACTTTATAGACTCTTAGTAATATAGGTATCCCCTGCCTTTCATCTTGTGTCACTTTGCTTTTATGAAAGACCTACAGCAGTACATGCTTTCGCTAACCGAAAAGAAACTGAAAGAGGACTTTTTTTTATGAAAAGAGGTGAGAAGAGCACTCCGCATGTGTTCTGCAGCAAGCTGGTAGAGGCAGCCCATCCCCTGGGCAGTGAGCGGCACTGCAGCCTCCATTACAAGATGTGTCCCAAGGTAAAGCAGTCTACCAGATGTCAGTTTTGGGGTCTGGGAACTGTCAGAAATTTTCCCATATCAATTAACAGTAAGTGCTTCTTTGCTTTGAGCCATTTCAGCTTCCAAACTGTTTCACAGGAATGCTCGACTTTCAGATAGCAGGAGAAATCTGTAAACTTTATTTTTTTTATTTCTTAAAAGATTTTATTTATTTGACAGACACACACAGCGAGAAAGGGAACACAAACAGGGGGAGCGGGAGAGGGAGAAGCAGGCTTCCCGCTGAGCAGAGAGCTCGATGCGGGGCTCAATCCCAGGACCCTGAGATCGTGACCTGAGCCGAAGGCAGATGCTTAACCGACTGAGCCACCCAGGTGCCCCGAAATCTGTAAACTTTAAATATTATACTACCAAAAAAAAAAAAAGTTCCTTTTAGGAATTACTTCTTGCCTGAAAAGTCTAAGCCAGTCAAACACAACACAACAATAGCCAGTCTGCTGCTTCAGGGCCAACCACAAACGCCCATTTCTGGTGCAAATGTGAGAGAGCAAGCAAGAAACCCTCCATTTCATACACTCACTTGAGCATAGGCACTCTGAGTTACTTTCCTCAAGTCGTCTTGAGCGCCGGTTGTAATCCTCCCGAAGAAGATTTCTTCCGACACCCGGCCACCCAGGGTCATGCACATCCTATCCAAGAGCTGCTCTTTGGTGTACAGGTATTGTTCTTTGGGTAAATACTGAGCATAACCTAGTCCTTTGCCCCGCGGGATGATGGAGACCTGGCAAGCAGAAAACATACAACATGTTGAGTATCCCGCCACCAAATGTTGACCACGAGGTTTACCTATACATCGATAAGCTTGCTGCCGAAACATAAGCATAGCAGCTGGGCAACCCGTCAGCCTTGGCAAGATGAGATCTAGCAGTTGACTGTTCAGAGGGAGTATTTTCTCTTAGAATAACTTCACCTTAGAGTTCTAGAAAGTATTTCTTGTCTTTTTGTGATACACACTTGAAATTATTTAATCTTGACGAAAGGACAGGTGGTGAGTGAGGACTCCTTCTGGCAGCTCAAACATGGCCTAGTTGCCATTCAACTTCACAGAGTCCCAGCCACATCCTTCTCTACAGGACGAAGGGGAAGGCAGACCTAGATGCTCAGCAGCCTTCATTTTCTTTCCTAGTGCTTTTTGAAATGGAGTAAATTCCTTAAATTTAAAAAAAAATCAACTTTATTGAGGGATAGTTTATATTCAGTAAATACACCATGTTAAGTGTACAAGTCCAATGAGTTTTGACAAACACAACCTCCTACCACAACAGAGACAGAAAATCTTTTCTTCGTCCTGCAAAGTTCTTTTGTATCCCTTTCTGGTCAGTCTTAACCCGTCCCCCCAACCCCCTTCACTCCAGCCCCAGCTGGAGATATGTGACCAATCCATAGGGACTTAGTCATAATTTCTGGAACTGCATGTAAATGGAATCATACAGTATGTACTTTATTTTGTCTGGTTTCTTTCACTGTTTCTGAGATTCGCCCACACTGCTATGTGTATTAATAGTTCATTCATTTTTACTGCTGGGTAGCATTCCATTGTATAAACATACCAAACATCCACTTCATTCTTGAGGGATATCAGGATTGTCTCCAGTTTACTGCTATTATGAATCAAGCAGTAAAAGTCTTTGTGTGGACATATTTTTATTTCTCTTGGGTGATTATATAAGAGTGAGACTGTTTGGTTGTACGGAAGCATTTGTTTACCTTCATAAGAAACTACCAAACTGTTCTTCAAAATGGTTATACCATTTCACATTCCCATCATCAACGGATGGAAGCTCCAGCTAGACTGACATTCACCAACACTCAGGACTAACTTTTTAATTTCAACCATTCCAGTGGGTATGTGGTGGTATTTCATTGTAGTTTAATTTGCACTTTCTGATGACTAATGAAATTGAATATCTTCATGTGCTTAATGTCCATTTGTATACCTTCAGATCTCTTGCCCATGATTTCACTGGGTTGCTTATTTTTGAGTTTTAGGAGTTTTTTTTAACATATTCTAGATTCAAGTCCTTTGTCATATATATACTGCAAGATTTTTCAAAATATGTGGCTTGCTTTTCATTTTCTTAACAGTGTCTTTCAAAGACAAAACATTTTCAATTTTAATGAGATCCCATTTATCAACTTTTTCTTCTGTGGTTCATCCTTTTTGCGTACTAAGACATTTTTGCCTATCTAAGGTTACAAAGATTTTGACCTATGTTTTCCTCTAAAAGTTTATTGTATTTTAGCTTTTACAGTCTATTTCAAATTAATTTTTTACATATGATCTGAGAGTTAAGGTTGGCTTTTTTCCCCCATGACACTGAGTTGCCAGAATCATTTGCTGGTAAGACAATCCTCCCCACCTTGAATTACTTTGGCACCTCTGCTGAAAATCAATTAATCAGTTATGTGTGAGGATCTATTTCTGAGCTCCATTCCATCCCACTGATCTGTTTAGTCCCTTCTGCAATACTAGTCTTCATTACTTAGCTATATACAAGGTATTAATATTGGCAGTGTAACCCCTTCAAACTTCACTGTTTTGGCTATTCTAGTGACCTGATTTCCATATAAATTTTAGATCTGCTTATCAATTTCTACAGAACAAGTCGGCTATGTTTACCACAGAGACTGCACTGAAACTATACATGAATCTGGGGAGAACGATGATCATAACATTGCAGGAACACAGTATATCTCTTTTTTTTTTTTTTTTTTTTAAGATTTTATTTATTTGTTTGAGAGAGAGACAGAGAGTTAGAGCACGAGAGCAGGGTGAGGGGCAGAGGGAGAAGCAGACTCGCCACTGAGCAGGGAGCCCGATGCGGGACTCGATCCCAGGACCCTGGGATCACGACCTGAGCCGAAAGTAGACACTTAACCGACTGAGCCACCCAGGGGTCCCTGTATCTCTATTTTTATTTAGGTCTTGTTTCGTTCAGTGTACAGATCCTACAAGTACTTCAATAAATGTACCCCTACATGTTTCGTGTTTTTGGATGCTGTTGTAAATGAAATTGAATTTTTAAAATTTTATTTTCTAATTGTTCATTGCTAATTTACAGAAATACAATTGATTTTTGTATATGGATCCTGAATTCTATAACCTTGCTAATTTCACCTATTGGTTCTAGTGGCTTCTCTGTAGATTATCTAGGGTGGTTATTTATTTATTTATTTATTTATTTATTTATTTATTTTCTAAACTCTACCCCAACGCGGGGCCTGAGCTCATGACCCCAAGATCAACAAGAGTGGTACCCTCTACCGACTGAGCCAGCCAGGCACCCCTATCTAGGATGTTTTCTGCACACTTTATGTTACCTTTTCTGTGGTTCCCTTGCTTCAGGGGCTCCCCCTCCATTTCCAGTGGTCCCCTGACATTGCAAATCAGATTGTGGCTTCCTGTTGTTCGTGCTGCACCAGTATGGGGACTGCACTCAGTTGAAAAAGCAAAAATTTACCAATCTCACTTGATGCACCCATCTTTCAGGAGATTTCCCTTTGGTCTCTTTTTTGCCAGGCTCTCTGGGGTCTTCCTGTGCTGGCATAGTTTAGTGGTCAGCCAGGGAGCCGAGGAGTTTCTACTTGGACTTGGGTCTCAATTCCTCTGTAGCTTTCTTGCTTCCAGGATTTTCCTGTTAAATTTCCAATATTCTTCAAATCCCGAATTCTTTCCTCTGCCACCTCAATATGATAGACCAGCCTTTTCCATCACTGTGGCCACAGAAAAAACCCTCAGGCAAGGAAGCCACGAGCTCCCAATTCTAACCCATTGCAGGTACTCCTTTTCAAAAGGAAATTCTCCAGCTTTGGTCTGCTTTGGACACTGTTCGGTCCCTTTAAATAGCAGTTTTCTTTCTAAACTTTGTAAATTCTTTGCAGGAGGGTTTGCATAACCTCTTCATCCCACCATCATTACCACACTTCTTGACCAAATTTTATATACCTGTCCTTTGTGGGAATGCAATTTTCTCCTTAAGTAATTGCTCACAGGATCAGTTGGCTTGCCTACTGTTCAACACAAACTGCTTTACCTTTAAAAGTGGGTCTGCATGTTCCAGATACCACCCGGCAACTGCATGACCTGCTTCATGGTAAGCCACAGTCTTTTTCTCCTCGGGATGCAGAACCTGGGTTTTTTTCTCTAAGCCTGACAAAATAATAACAAGTTAAAGTCAAAATCACTGCCTCAGTGGCACCGACATAAAAAGACAGTTATACAATCTATACACGCCTTATCTAGAAGGTGACTTAGAGACTAAGCTGCCTATAATTTGGAAATTCCCAACCACGGTCAGACTAAAAATAAAGGACCATCTCCGAAATATACCCAGCTACTTGCAAAATGCATTCATTACCCCCAGGTCCACTAACTCTCTAACTCTCCCACTCTTTTGAGCCATATATCTTGTTTTGGGAAAGAGAAATACAAAATAAAATTCAGCACTTAGGTCAGTTTAAAACATAAAATTCAAAAAAGACAAAGAGGTGTGGAATGATCTCCTTTTTAATCCAGGCACCTGGAATTCTCAAGCACTGGGTAAACAAACATGCATGAAACTGCCTGCTGTCTGTTCCTGATGGAAAGCACACGAGAGAGGAGAACCGAGCTGTTTGAAGATTGAAAATACCTCGCCAGCAAGTTGGCGAGGCCAATGCTACAGCACCCGGCACACTAATCAACTGGCCCAGGGGGTTCCAAGAGCTAGCAGCAGGGTAGACCTGAGAAAATAAACCCAAGAGACGCCCCTGTGTTGGGCCCATGTGTTGACTACAAGCTGGGGGACTCCTAGTCCAAGTACGAGTCTTCTCTGGCCTGGATCAAGGTGGATACTAAACCTCCTCTGCCCCTTTGTACCACAGAAACGAACGACATAGTTTGTACTAATACAAATCGTCACACTGTGACAAACTGTGTTCAAGGTAACCCATCTGAGAGAATTTTCAAATGGTAACATATTAATGAGTCTGAAAGATTAAAAAAAAAAAAAAAAAGAGTGCTATGTTCCCAATGACATAACCCAAGACAGTAATAGAGCTGGAAGGGTGGAGATTTACAGCGGGTGAGTTACTAAGAAGAGTTGAGCAGTTCTTGCTTATATGAGAAAACAAGAATCCTGACCCCCCTGCCCCCCGCTTGATCCCTGGAAGTTTTCATTTCCCAGTATGCTTACTACAGACCAACTGCTCATGGCTGGTTTATAGTAGCTAAGCTGTGAGCAGGTAAGCGTCTGTGTACCTCAGAGCGAGGACCCCTCTTGGATGTGCCACCCTGATGTCTTTCACACTGAGCACTGACTGTTGCCCCACCTAGAGGGCACAGACAGATATGCAGCTTTCACCTGCCTCTACAGTGAATTGCTTTAATCCCACTTACAACTCTATCATCTTAGATTTTTTCCTTTCAGTAATAAATTTCTAGAATAAGTAGTCTGTTCATTCGTTCACGGGTTATTGATGTAGCACCTAATCCAGGTTAAACACATTGCTACACTAGCCTCTAGCATCACTTGATCCTGCTGACGAGTGCTTTATAAACGTGTCTTTGCCCTCATCCTCCATCTCTGGTAACCTCCTGGGTTCCCTTTAGTGGCATCTACTCCTTGTCTTACTCGCTGAAGCACCTTGCGGGCCTGTGGCGACTCCGCTGGCTCACCCTTCTCCCCTCTGCTACCACTGCAGGCGGTGTTTACCCTGTAGGCCCGGCCCCCGGAGCCCTCTCACCCACCTCCACACCATAGGAACCACAGCCTGTGGCACGGTGGTGCGGCAGAGTTCCGCGTGGATAGCTCGCCCCGTCTCAAATTCTGCCCAGCCAGCTGCTGCTTGAAGCACCCCGTTCTTCCCAAGGCCTGTAAGGCTGTCCATTTTGTTTTATTTTTGTCTTTGCCTATTACCACGGGGACTCCTTAAGCTAAAATCCACGACCTCACATTAATGACTACAAAGTTCTCTGCCTTCTGATGCTTCCGTCTTCTTCAGTGTCAGACTCCTTTTATTAAAATATCACTGATTATCATGCTACTCGATGACTCAAGAAAAACCCCACGTTAGTTCAATACTGGCCACAGGACAACAGTTTAAAAAGCCCTTGAGCTTAACATTCAAGGCTTTCTAAAATCTAGACTTAAGCCATTATTTCCAGCTCTGCCTTACTTCCCAAAGGAACTTGAATCTGACTGGTTTACTTTCCCTCCCTGAGACACAGGGTGTTAACACTACCACCAAGCACCTTCTGTTCCTGCCACTCTGACACCAACCTCCTCTTTCAATTGAGCCCGACTTAAATCCCGCCTCTTCTGTAGAGCCCCGCCTGACCACAGCGCCCTTCCCTTCTTTGAATGCCCAAGTTCTGGAATTTCTAGTTATCTTTTTATGGGTGTTAAATTATAAGCTCCCTGGAAAACATGTTATATATTTCCCCATCCTTGCTTGTGGGGTGAGCATTTCCTGGCTAACCAGGTGTTAGAGCTGTTTATCCATCACCTCTACCTAGCAGAGAGCACATTTAATTCATGCAATACAATTTTTGGAAACAGGAAGGTTGTGAGCATTTTCAAAACACTGGACTGGTATAATTCAGGGCAAGACACCTTGCTGCTTGCTGCCCATGAGTGAGGCATGGTGTGGGATGCTGTTTGTCTCAGACTCACCCAAATCAACAGCATCCATCTCCACAAAACTGTGGCTGAGGGGGGTGGGGGGCACCCTCACAGCACTGAGGGAACACAGCAGGTGCATGGCAACCCCAGGCTGGGTAGAGAGACTTTTCTTTGCTTCTACATCTTGCCAAAACAGAGAAACCCATGGCCTCAAACTCATTTTATCAGCCTTTTGACTTGAGTTACATTCAGTTTGCTTACCACCAATCACTCGCTCAATAGCTTGTTCGAAGTGTTTCTGATTTATGGAATCTGAAAGGTGTCTCGCAGCAATGAGGGCCGCTTCATTACAGACATTAGCAACATCAGCTCCTACAAAATCAATGTACAGAACAGCTTACCCACCAAATATACTCGAACTGATTAGTCACACATTATGGATGACCATATCCACAGTCAGTTTCTCAACCAGCAGTAGACTGAATAAGGGTTTAGTATAATATAATTCAGTTTGATTCATGTTAACACTAAGCTGTTCTAGCATTCAGTAGCAACCTGGTACAATCCTGGCCCTTTGAACTAAGATGCAAATACTATTAGTAGTAAGGAGATAATTATAGGCAGCTACCTTTATAGGCAATATGGTTCATGTAACAGTGAACTAAGACAGTCTTTAAAAATGCCCATTAATTAACTTAGTTCTATGAGCTCTGCTGGGAGAGTGACTAATGCGGATATTAGGTAACATGCTGAAATATAATGAAAAACATAAGCATTAAAATAACTCAGTGCATTCGGTTAAATAACAAAAGTTAAATATGTGAAGCTTGCCAAATGCTTTCTAGATCCATAAGTCTTTTTTTTTTTTTTTTTTAAGATTTATTTATTTATTTATCTGAGAGAGAGAGAGAGAGCACAACCGGGAGTCGGGGGGGTAGGCTGAAGAGGGAAAAGCAGACTCTCCACTGAGCAGGGAGCCAGACGTGGGGCTGGATCCCAGGACCCTAGGATCATGACCTGAGCCGAAGGCAGATGCTTAACCGACTGAGCCACCCAGGCACCCCTATAAGTCTCTTTAAAATCACTTTTCAGATAAAGTATATGGTAACTCAATAAACACTGAAATGTTATAAATTCCAAAGTTTAAAGATAAAAAACAAGTAAAGTTAGGACCCTGGGACATTTAAGATGCCTATCTTCTTCTAACCATACACTTATGTATAGAATTCCTTTTTAAGAAAGGCTCACATTTTACATTTAAAAACTCTTGGAATAAGCATATGCAGAGATGCTCAACATCATTAGTCATTAGAGAAATGAAAATCAAAACCATGAGATACCACTAGGGTGGCTACAATCACAAAGACAGGCGATGACAAGCATTGGCAAGAATGTGGAAAACTGGAACCCGCATACACTGCTGGTGAGAACGTAAAATGGCGCAGCCACTTTGGAAAATCACCTTTTCAAAAAGTGATTCAGCAGCACTACTCCTAGGTATATAACCAGAGAAATGAAACGTATGTCCACACGAAAATCTATACACAGACGTTCATAGCAGCATTATCTCTAATAGCCAAAAGATGGAAACAACCCAAATGATGGATAAAGATGTGGTCTATCCACACAATGGAACATTATCCAGCCAGAAAAAGGAATAAAGTGCTGACACATTCTGCAACATGGGTGAACTCTGAAACCACTATGTTAAGTGAAAGAAGCCAGGCAGAAAAGATCATGTTACATAATTCTTTTTATATGAAATGTCCAGCATAGGAAAACCTATAGAAACAGAAAGTAGGTGAGGGGTTGCCCAGGGCTAGGGGTGGAGGGAATGGCTGCTAATGGATTCTTCTGGGGTGATGAAAATGATCTAAAAGTAGACTACAGTAGTTACAGTGTAACCCTGTAAATATACTGAAAACCACTGAATCGTACACTTGTACAATTCACAGATGAATTTTACGGTATTTGAGTTTTGTCTCAATAGAGTTGTTTAAAAAAAACCTCAAGAGGCACCTGGGTGGCTCAGTTGGTTGAGTGTCCAACTCTTGATTTCAGCTCAGGTCATGATCTCAGGGCAATGAGATCCAGCCCCATGGCAGGTTCTGTGTTCTTTGGGGAGCCTGCCTGAGATTCTCCTTCCCTCTGCCTGCCCCCTGCCGCTCAACCAAGGGCTTATGTGCACTCTCTCTCGCAAACAAATAAATGAACCTTAACAAAACGAAACAACTAAAACCCACATACAAATAACCAAGAGGCAGGAGGAAAAGGGTAGGGTATATACGAAGGTTCAACACGAATTAGTAATTGTTCCTGAAGCTAGGTGATGCAGGCAGAGGGGTTCATTATACTATTTTCTTAACTTCTGCAGATGTGTGAAATTTCCTACAATACAAAGGTAAAAATATACACTGAAGAGGCCCCAAGGTGAGAGGTAAAAGTAAACTGGTACCTGGCAAATGTCACTGACCTAAAGGACTTCTAACAGAGAGAGCAGGCTCTGTTCCACTCACCTGAAAACCCTGGAGTCAAGGATGCAAGTTTTCTTGCCAGTTTCTCCTTTTCCAGGGCACTGTCCAGTTTTAGTGGTCTGAGATGAACTTTGAAAATAGAGGCTCTTCCTTTTATGTCAGGTGGTCCTTGAGAAATTATTTTTAAGAGGGGAAAGAAAAAATCACAGTGAAACAGTTACATCTCTCCTCAAAAGAACTGGACTGAACCCAATGAAGATCATCTCACCAATAAAGATTTGCCTATCAAAGCGCCCTGGCCGCATCAGTGCTGGATCTAGAATATCTGGTCGATTGGTGCCTGCCAAAATGACGACGTTTGTTGTTGTGTTAAAACCTAGAGACAATAACAAAAATGCAAGACTTAAAGCTTTAATAAAGCATTTTTTTTTTAAGATTTTTTTTTTTTTTTTTTTTTGACAGAGAGAGAGAGACAGCGAGAGAGGGAACACAAGCAGGGGGAGTGGGAGAGGGAGAAGCAGGCTTCCTGCTGAGCAGGGAGCCCAGATGCGGGGCTCGATCCCAGGACCCTGGGATCATGACCTGAACTGAAGGCAGGCACTTAATGACTGAGCCACTCAGGCGACCCCGTAAAGCATCATTTATCTTTTTTTTTTTTTTTTTTAAGATTTTATTTATTTTTCAACAGAAAGAGAGACAGCGAGAGAGGGAACACAAGCAGGGCAGTGGGAGAGGGAGAAGCAGGCTTCCCGCTGATCAGGGAGCCCGATGCGGGACTTGATCCCAGGACCCTGAGATCATGACCTGAGCCGAAGGCAGATGCTCAATGACTGAGCCACCCAGGAGCCCAAGCATCATTTTTCTAAACACAAATACCAGAGATTTTAATTTATGTAACTATAAGTTGAGAATATGCTGCCCATTTTTTAAATGTCTAAAAAAAAATAAGACTTATTTGAGAGAGAGAGAGCACGCATGAAAGAGTGAGAGTGCATGAGTGGGGGGAGGGACGGAAGGAGAGGGAGAAGCAGACTCCCCACTGAGCAGGGAGCCCAGGGTGGGGCTTGATCTCAGGACCCCGGGACCACGACCCGAGCCGAAGGCAGACGCTTAACCGACTGAGCCACCCAGGTGCCTTCATTTTTAAAATGTTCTAAAACCAGTGAGATTAGAGGAGCCTGGGTGGCTCAGTCGGTTGAGCGTCAGACTCTTGATTTCAGCTCAGGTCATGATCTCAGGGTCCTGGGATGGAGTCCCAGGTTGGGCTCTGTGCTCAGTGCAAAGTCTGCTTGAGATTCTCTCCCTCTGTTCCTCCTCCAGCTCAAGCTTGCTGGCTCTCTCTCACAAATAAATAAAATCTTTAAAAAAATGAAAATAAAATCAATGAGATTAAATTTGCAAACAATGTGTCTAACCTCCCTGGGTCACAGGACAACCCACTGAATATTTGATGACAAGTATCAAACTCCACCTCCAACCTCTTAGCCAGGCTCAGCTTGCTTGGTGCTACTCGCCACTTCTCAAATGTCAGTGCCTTGGCTATAGAGCATTGCCCCTCAGGACCCTGGCCCCAAAAGAGCTCTGGTACTGGGACCCCACAAAGATGGGTCTACATGGACTGACCACCACAGAGTGAGGGAAGAGCTCTACCTTCTTAATCTGGATATAGGCAGACCTCGTTTTACTGCTCTCTGCTTTACTGCACTTCATACATACTGTGTTTTTTACAAATTGAAGGTTTGTGGCAACCCTATGTTGAGCAAACCTATCAGTGCCATTTTTCCAACAGCATTTGCTCACTTTGTGTCTCTATCACATTTTGGTGCAATACTTCAACATTTTCATTATTATTACAATACTTTATTTCATTATAATTACAATACCTCAACATTTTCATTATCATTATTATTTAAAAGATTTATTTGAGAGAGAGCGAGAAAGAGAGCACAAGCCAGGGGGAGAGGCAGACTCCCTGCTAAGCAGGGAGCCCTATGTGGGGTTCGAACCCAGGACCTGAAATCATGACCTGAGCTGAAGACACATGCTTAACTGACTGAGCCACCCAGGCACCCCCTTAGTTGTTATTTTTTTAAAGATTTTATTTATTTATTTGAGAGAGAGAATGTGAGAGAGCATGCATAGGCGGTGGGGGGGGGGGGGAAGGGGGAGAAGCAGACTTGGGGCTCGAACCCAGGAGCTGAAGGCAGACATTTAACCAACTGAGCCACCCAAGCAACCCCATTTTCATTATTGTATTTGTTGTGGTGACCTGTGATCAGTAATCTTTAAGGTTATTATAGTGTTCGTTTTAGGGCACCACAAACTGCACCCATATAAGTGAACTTAATTGATAAATACTATGTGTGTTCTGACTGCTTCAGCGACTGAGCATTCCCTGTCTCTCTCCCTCTCCTTGGGCATCCCTATTCCCTGAGACATGATATTGACATTAGGCCAATTAACAGCCCTACAGGGCCCTCTAAGTGTTCAAGTGAAAGGAAGAGTCGCATGTCTCTCACTTTAAATCAAAAGCTAGAAATGATTAAGCTCAGTAAGGAAGGCACGTTGGAAACTGAGATAAGACTGTAGACTGAAAGCTAGGCCTCTTGTGCTAAGCAGTTAGCCAAGGAGTGAATGCAAAGGGAGAAAGTTCCTGAAGAAAATTAAAATGCTACTCCAGTGGATACATAATGATAAGAAAGCAAAACAGTCTTACTACTGATACAGAGAAAGTTTGAGTGGTCTGGATAGAAGATCAAACCAGCCCTTGAGCCAAAGCCTAATCCAGAGCCAGGCCCTAAGTCTCTTCAATTCTGTGAAGGCTGAGAGAGGTGAGGAAGCTGCAGAAGCAAAGTTGGAAGCTGCCACAGGGTGGTTCCTGAGGTTTAAGTAAAGAAGCTGACATAAAAGTGCAAGATGAGAAGCAAGTGCTGATGTAGAAGCTGCAGCAAGTGATCCAGAAAGTCTAGCCGAGATAGTTCAGAGTGGCTATACTAAACACCTTCTGATGTAGATAAAACCGCCTTGTATTGGAAGAAGATGTCATCTAAGACTTTCATAGCTAGAGAGGAGAAGTCAATGCCTCCCTACAAAGCTTCAAAGGACAGGCTGACTCTCTCGTTCGTTGCTAATGTAGCTGGTGACTTTAAATTGAAGCCAGTGCTCATTTACCATTCTGAAAATTCTAAAGAATTATGCTAAATCTCTCTGCCTGTTCTCTAGAAATGGAAAAACAAAGCCTGATGACAGCATATCTTTTTACAACATAGTTTACTGAATATTTTAAGCCCAGGGTTGAGATAGCTGCTCAGAAAAATATTCCCCTCCCAATATTACTGCTCACAGACAATGCCCTGGCCACCCAAGAGCTCTGATGAAGACGCTGAGATTAACGTTGTTTCGTGCCTGCAAACATAACAGCCATTCTGTAGTGCATGCATCAAGGAGTAATTTGGACTTTTAAGTCTTATTTTTTAAGAAATACATTTTGCAGGGCTGTAGCTGCCATAGATAGTAGGAAGGACTCCCCATGAAGAACATTTGTGATGCATGGGAAGAGGTCAAAATACCAACATTGCCAGGTGTTTGGAAGAAGTTGATTCCAACCCTCATGGATGACTCTGAGGGGATCAGGACTTCAGTGGAGGTGGTAACTGCAGATGTGGTAGAACAGCAAGAGAACCAGTATTAGAAGTGGAGCCTGAAGAGGTGACTAAATGGCTGTGATCTCATGATCAAACCCTCATGAATGAGGAGCTGCTTATGGATGAGCAAAGAAAGTGGTTTCTTGAGATGGAATCTATTCCTGGGAAAGTTGCTGTGAAGACTGTTGAAATTACAGTAAAGTAGGGCACCTGGCTGGCTCAGTTGGTGGAGCATGTGGCTCCTGATACTGGGGTTATGAGTTCGAGCCCCACGATGGGAGCAGAGATTACTAAAAAATAAGATCTTTAAAAAAAGGCGGGGGGGAGGGGGCGCCTGGATGGCTCAGTCGGTTAAGCGACTGCCTTCAGCTCAGGTCATGATCCCAGGGTCCTGGGATCAAGTCCGTGTGGGCTCACCGCTCCACAGGGAGTCTGCTTCTCCCTCTGCCTCTCCTCCTGCCCCACTTGTACTTTTTCTCTCAAATTTTTAAAAATTGCCACAGCCACCTGGCCTTCAGGAGCCACCACCCTAATCAGTCAGCAGCTGTCAACACTGAGGCAAGACCCTCCACCAGCAAAAAGATAACAAATCACTGCAAGTTCAGATGATCATCAGCATTTTTCAGCTATAAAGCATTGTTTAATTAATTAAAGTATGTACATTTTTTAAAGACACATACTGCACTTACTAGACTACAGTATAGTGTAAACATAACTTTTATATGCCCTGGGAAACCAAAACATTCATTTAACTCGCTTTATTATGATATTCACTTTACAGCGGTGGTCTGGAATGGAAGCCTCAATATCTCCAAGGAGTGCCTGTACAATGCCCAGCTCAGTCACATAAAGCAGTTCAATACTCAGCACTGTACTACCCTCTCTGAGCACACAACAGCATCCATGTATCTTACAGCAAGCAGCATTCTTATATGCTACAAACTGGCTTTCCTAATAAAAGAAAAAGCTGACTAATGTGGAAAGATTGCTACTCTCTTAGTAGGAGTATTCAAAATCTGCCAAATTCACACTTGGTTGTGTATGGGTTTTCCTGATGCTTCAGAATGATAAATGGTTTTAAGAATGAGACTTGGGGCGCCTGGGTGGCTCAGTTGGTTAAGTGTCGACTCTTGATTTCGGCTCAGGTCATTCAGGGTTGTGAGATCAAGCCCTGTGTCGGGCTTCCTGCTCAGCAGGGAGTCTGCTTGAGACTGTCTCTCTCTCTCTCCATCTCCCTGTCCTTCCCCCAACTTTGTGCTCATGTGCTAAAATAAATATATTTAAAAAAAAAAAAAGAGGGGCGCTGGGCTGGTTCAGTCGGTTAAGCATCTGACTCTTGGTTTCCACTCAGGTCATGATCTCAGGGTCGTGAGATTGCGCTCCATGTTGGGCCCTGTGCTCAGCTCAGAGTCTGCTTGAGATTTTCTCTGCCCCGCCCCCTGCTCGCTCTCTCAAATAGATAAAATCTTAAAAAAAAAAAAAGAAAAAAAGAATGAGACTATAATTCTTTTGTAGATCATTTCCCCAATTTTTCCCTTATTCAATAACAGGTAAAAACACCACCTTAACACCAATATTAAGTTATGGCAGGCTGCTAAGTAAGAATATTTTGCTATTCTCTGTACTGGTACAGAAGAGCTTTGAAAAAGGGCTGTTTTAGAGAACGCTTTTTAAAAATTTATACTCTCAGCATAAGGATTCTCACTTTAGAATATGGAAAACAATTAGAAAGTGTAGTTTAAAATATGAAAAGACCTTCAAGATGGCAGTGGCTGGGTGGCTGAATGGCAGAGAGAGGTGAAGGCCCCTACGAGGTAGAAGAGGCCGAGAATCGTCCCCTCCCCACTTCTCACAGTCCCAGGGGCCCAGCAGAAGTGTTGTTTTTTTGTTTTAATGAACAAGTAAACCATACAAGTTGTCAACATGGGATGGAGATCTACATCATCCACCAAGAGTGGAAAATTTATGAACCCCACAGACCAAGCCCAAAGAGAGAGTTAAAGAACAAAAAACTGCATGATGGTACGAGCTGCAGTTTTGAAGATGAAGGATCCCAAAGAGATTATTCGGGACATGGAGAAACTGGCTAAAATGGGGTTTAGCCCAGCACAGCAACCACAGTTAAATGTGAAAGTGCTAAAAGACAAGCGTAAAAAGCTGCGTGAGACCTGTGAACTTACTATTCTACGACTCTACGAAAATAAGAATCCGGATATTTACCGAGAATTGAGAAAGCTGGAAGCAGAGTATGAGTAGAAGAGGGCTCAACTTAGCCAATATTCTGACGCTGTCCAGAAGGCTCAGCCTGTGGAAGTGGAGAGTATTCCCCACCAGGGACGCCACAGGCTCCTTCCAACATCTAGATCCGCGGGACATTCTACTTCCTGGTGCCCAGTCACCCTTCATCCTTAAAAAGACCTCAGCCTATGGGCCTCCAACACAGGCAGTTTCTATACTTCCTCTTCTTGGACATGGTGCGCCACGTTTGCCCCCTGGCAGAAAACCTCCTTGTCCCCCCCAGGCTACCACCTCCTCAAGTCTTGCAAATGTATGCCGTAAAGGGGGCTCTGCCCTAGAGCTTCCCCCTTGTAGGCAGGATGAAGAGATGTTATATAGCCCGGAATGCTCAACAGGCTCCTGATGATGATGTTTCCAGCACAAGATGACTGCATCAAGATAAGCATGATGACCATACTGATGACAGTGACACTGACAGATCAGATGCAGAGAGTGAAGGGGGTGAATTCGTGCACCATGATGATCACAAGAGAGACAATAAGGAAGAAAAAAAGTCAGGTCTGAGTGTAAGATTTACAGATATGGCTGGAAAATCAAGGAAGAAAAAGAACATGAAGGAGCTGACTCCCCCCTCTTCAAGCCATGATGCTTCGAATGGCAGGTCAGGAAATCCCTGAGGAGGGACAAGAAGTAGAATTTTCAGAGGATGATGACAAAGAGGATTCTGATGATTCTGAAGCAGAAAAGCAATCACAAAAATGGCAGAAAGAGGAATCTCTTTCTGATGGCGCATCTACTGCTTCTTCACAGCAGCAAGAATCTCCCCCCGCCCCCCGAGTCTGTTCCTCTTTCTCAGATCCAAGCACCTCCCACACCAGGACCACCTCCAGGAGCTCCTACATTCCTGAGACCACCTGGAATGCCGGGACTGTGAGGACCTTCACCCTGACTTCTGCCTGAAGGCCCACCACCAGACCAACCCCCTGGCCCTCCCCCAGGTCCACCTCCAGGTCGGCCTCCTGGCCCTCCTCCTCCTCAGGGACCCTCACCAAGGCTACCTCCCCCTGCACCTCCAGGTATCCCTCCACCTCGTCCCGGCAGAAGTGCCCACCTTTGGTGCCTCCACCTGGACCTGCCCTACTTTTTCCCACCAGCTTCCTTGCTGACCCCAGGGGGTGTTAAGTTCTCCACCTGACGATTCAGCGACCCAAGGCGGATGATACAAGCGCAGCCCCCACTGAGAAGAAAGCCATGACAACCATCAGTGCCAAGTCATAGGTCACTAATCCCAAGGCAGATTACTCGATTCATGCCCACTGCGTTGAGGGTACATCAGGAGGATAAAGGGGCCACTGCTGCTCCCCAAAGAGGATGATTCTGCTGTGCCTCTAGCCAAAGCAGCTCCCAAATCTGGTCCATCTGTTCCCGTCTCAGTGCAGACTAAGGATGATGTTTCTGAAGCTTTCACGAAGGAATGGAAGAGATCCTGCAACAGTTTTTAATGCCACAGCAGGTTTCTGTTCGCATCAGTGGTTCATGGGGAAAGAGGCGCTTACTAAATTTAGTGAAGGAGCGGCTTTCACTGTCAAGGTATTTTTAAATTTCAGTTCAAGGAATATCCTAAAGTTTAAGCCTTGTTCAGAATTTATTGCATCTAAGAGAGGATTACTTCATTCAGAATAGACTGGTTATTGAAGCAGTGCTGCTAACATCCATTCCCTTTCATACCACCATTTTCACCCCCTTTGTTCCCCCTTCTCCAATTATTTGGAAACCTGTGATCGGGGGTGGGGGGATCTTTGTTATTTATTTGTTTTGATTCTCTTCTTGTGTACAGTGGGCACTGGAGTAGAGATTTCTGAAAAAAAAAAAGTTTATTTTACCCCATCTTGCCTTTTGTGTTTGAGTTATTTTAGTATTTTCTTCCAAGTATTTTTGCAATCCATTAGTGAAGTGGATCACAATGTCATTTACTAATACAAAGTAAGATATGTGGGGAAAAAATGTACAATCCTTTGATTAAAATTATTTCCCACCGACCTAAACTTTGAGTATTTCATGGACTAAATGTTCTACACTGAGAAAAAAAATAAAATACAAAAGACTTGAATATTCACCATCCATTTCCACAAGCAGCTGATTGAGTGTATTCTCCTGCTCACTCTGTCCCCCGAAGTTGCCTCTTCCTCTTTTCCTTCCCACGGCATCTATTTCGTCAATGAAGAGAATGCAGGGGGCGTTCTTGCGAGCAAGGGCAAATAAGTCTCGGACCTGGATAAAAATATATACATTAGAGTCACTTGACAAGTGAATATTATTTTCCTCCTACTAAAATAAGCATCATGCGGGGCGCCTGGGTGGCTCAGTCGTTAAGCGTCTGCCTTCGGCTCAGGTCATGATCCCAGGGTCCTGGGATCAAGCCCCACATCGGGCTCCCTGCTCCGCGGAAAGCCTGCTTCTCCCTCTCCCATTCCCCCTGCTTGTGTTCCCTCTCTCGCTGTGTCTCTCTCTGTCAAATAAATAAATAAAATCTTTAAAAAATAAATAAAATAAAATAAGCATCATGCTTCCATCCAATAGGAAATCTTTGTTACATACTGTACTGTACTGCACATATTTAAAATGTTATAAGCAAGGAGGTGGCAAATGAAGTTGATGGGTAAATGATTTAAGGTGAGCAAACATTATTTCTATAATATCATAAGACTAACAATATCCGCTATTTTTTTAGAGCAACTTATTAATGCTACACATTTTTGCCCTATAAAAAGATAACACTGTAGAACTGTAAACTTTATATTCAGTTTAGAAGTTCAAACTACTCTGGGGTTTGCATTTCATGCCCAAGGCAGCTGTTAACAAGCAGACACTTAATAAAAGATGTAGGCAGTACATACACACACAGCAAAAGCAGTGACTTACCCACGCCCCCACAGTGATCACCCCAGAGCATATGGTAGACAGTGCCCTGCCTTCAGCCCTGCTGCTACAGGAGGCCCCCATACCTATATTCTGTCCTAATAAACATGTCCCCTCAGGCCACTAGTTCAGGTGGGTTGAAGGATTGGCCGTCCCCATACCTCGCCACCAGCAAAGAGTTCAGAGTTTCACACTAAGAGATCCAGAAACAATCTCCTATGACTCACATCCCTCTTCACCTCACTCACCAAAGTCCAAGTCTCCTTGTCACCTTTCCTGCCTGGACTTCCAGGTTTTCATTGCTATACTTCTCTGAACACATCCTCTAGGGTAACTCATGTCCGTCTAGGGTCTCCCCCTCTGAACTCCAGATCTGTGATCAACAGACCCCCACCCTCTCACACTCTTCCCTAAATACCTCCTTCACCCTCTTGCCTGAACTCAAATTTGTCTGTCCCTGCAAAGCTCTCAACTAGAAGGGGTTTTTGTCTTTCCCTCAGGGCCCATGGGAGTTGAAGTCTATCTCACATGCCATGACTACTGCCAAAATAATTCTGCTGAAAACCCCTGCTCGTGGAGGCTCTCATCGTGGGGCAGACACATCACCCTCCTTGTTGCAGTACTCCTTGGGCCTGATTTCCCACTCTTCCACCCCACCCCCACTGGACACTATTTTCTTAGTGGTTCCTGGTCGGTCGGTCCCCTGAAGCACCTATTTCAATCACCTTCTGTTCCGCTCTGCCAAGGTTTCCCTACATAACCAGCTTCCCAGTCTACTCTGACCCCCTCCTATCGATCTGGCCTGCTCATGGGCTCAAGCCTCTCTGACAGCTGGCTCCTCTTAGGTCTCCAACCCATTAGATTCACTGCTTCCCACGACCCACAGCCCCTCTCCTGTCTTCAGTCACCCCCACTGCTCCCGCCCATATTAGATTCCACAGTCCAACGTCATTAACTCCTTCAGACTCCCCCAGCTGCCTGACAAGACTCGTATGAAACCACCTACTCTACCTAAGATGCCATCAGTGGTATGACACATCATTAATACATTTGCCACTGACAAAAAAAAAAATGCTGCCAGTTGATGGCACAACATCTAGTCATTGATCATATGCTATACCCTAATGTTTGGAAAAGCAACTATGATAGCACTTTACCTCTCTGAGGTGTTAAAAAAAAAAAAAGTCAGCATTTAATGAAATACACAAGAGTAAAAATTTAAGTGCTGCTTTAAAAACTAATCCATACTCTCACTTCCTGATTTCAAAACTTACTACAAAGCAACAGTAATCAAGACTGCAGTACTGGTATAAAGACAGACATATAGGTGCGCCTGGGTGGCTCAGTTGGTTAAGCGTCTGCCTTCGGCTTGGGTCATGATCCCAGGGTCCTGGGATCGAGCCCCGCATCAGGCTCCCTGCTCCACGGGAAGCCTGCTTCTCCCTCTCCCACTCCCCCTGCTTCTGTTCCCTCTCTCGCGGTGTCACTCTGTGGCAAATAAATAAATAAAATCTTAAAAAAAAAAAAAAAAGGCAGACATACAGGTCAACAGGATAGAATTGAGAGTCCAGAAATAAACCCGTGTATCTATCTATGGTCAAAGGTGCCAAGACCATTCAATGGGAAAATCGTCTTTCTAACAAATGGTGCTGGGAGAACTGGATACACACATGTGAAAGAGTAAAGATGGACCCTTACCTTATGCCATATTAACTCCAAATGGATCACAGATCTAAATGTAAGAGCTAAAACTATAAAACCCTTAGATGAAAACATGGGAGTATTTATGACTTTGGATTTGGTGACAGATTCTTAGCATACCAAAGTCCAAGCAACAGCAAAAAAAATGGATACACTGGTCTTCATCAAGATTAAATCCTTTGTGCTTCACTATCAAGAAAGAGAAAAAGCAAACCACAGAATGGGAGAAATTATTTGCAAATAATGTATCTGATTAGGATTTAGTATCCAGAATATACAAAGAACTCTCACAACTCAACGACAAAAGGACAACCCGATTAACAGACTACACTAGTCTGGGCCAGGGCCATCTTTAGCAACTCCATATTTGGGGGGAAGCTCAGGGGGAGAGGATGGAAGCTGTGCCATCCTAACAGAACAAAGACTTACTCTAGCTGGACCCACACCAACAAACATCTCCAAAAACTCAGATCCACTAACGGTGATGAAAGGGACGTTGGCTTCTCCAGCTGTGGCCTTAGCCAGCAGTGTCTTCCCAGTGCCTGGAGGACCAGTGAGAATGGCACCCTTCAGATATAAAACAGGAAAAGTATCTTTAACTAGAATTTCAGAAAAGTAAATTGCATATCCATAAACAATTCTGAGATAGAAACCTGTCTAAAACTCTACTGACATATACTAAATGTTCCTTAAACATCTGAAATATGGCAAAACATTTTTGTATTAGTAAGAAAAGGATTATTAGAGACTGGTTTTAAAAATTTAGTAAGAATGTGAAATCTTAAATACTTCACTTACTTAATAAGATTTTTAGTGTTGCTTTTCAGACCTTTAGACTTAAGCTGAATATCTACTAATAAACCAACCGAGGTTTACTTAAATAAGTCAAGGAGACACAGAACAACACACTCCCAAATTACACTTTGCTTACTTTCTTCCCTTTAAAATTTCACAAATGAAGTAAAAATCTAATGACCAATTGTGAACATAGTTAAAAAGAGAAAATGTGCTTGCTCAAACAGTGTAATTATTTAAGCTGTGGAAATGCTTAGGCATGATGTGCAAACAGCAAATTATAAAATTATCAAATATGACTTTTTATCCATACAGTCAGGACATGGAAATCAAGGAAATGATGACTTCCTTTACAAAGGATTCCTTTAAAGTAAACTTTATTAATGGATTTTTTAAATAATTAAGCATTCTTGATTCATTTACTTAATGACTGAGCCTGGCCCTCAGAATACAAAGATGAGTAAGGCCAGCCCATCGCCAGCAGTGGGCATGGGGATGTCTCCTTGGCAGGGGGGAGGCCAGAATTAGTGTTGTCTATCTCTTCTCCACCAAATCCTGTGCCATGAGTCTGAGTCCCAGGTACAGGCAGAGTCTGCTCAAATTTGCTCAGGGAGGGATAACTGGGTGACAGCAGGGGGCAATATGCTCTGGTGCACACTTGCTGAGAAATGGGTTATCTAGATCCGACTGAAGGGAGAAGAAAGGCAAATCAGGAAAGGCTTCCAAGGGGAGAGAACACAATCTTTCCAGGAATATACACACTATATGCAAGCAGAAACATTCCTACAGAATAAATGACCTGAAAAAACCCTGGAGTAAAAAGCAGACTGGTAAGATAGAAGGAGAAAAATACTTTATCCTAAGTAATCAAACTTCATTAAAATTATAACTTTAGAGATCAAGAAGTAATTCAAAAGATTTTTGGGTTAATCAGTTGAAAATAATCTTCTGAAAATTCACTTTACCTTTGGGATTTTTGCTCCTAGATCTTGATATTGCTTTGGGTTTTTCAAGAAATTCACAAATTCCATTATCTCTAGTTTGGCCTCCTCACAGCCAGCCACATCTTTGAACTTCACATCTATCTCATCCTTCAAGACTTTGGCAGTGGTTTCTCCAACACTGAAGAGTCCACCCATCCCCCGGCCTGTCCGACCAATCCCGGCAGGCCCTCTCCGGATGGTGTAGAGTAAGAAAGCGATGATGAGCACCGTGGGCAACATGCTCAGGAGAAACGAGCTAAAGGAAACCACAGACAATACTGACATGTTTTTAAGTCTGTTAACCTTTGGCTTTGTAAACGTTTTGCAAGATAAACTTTTTCGTAACTACTTAGGATATAACTGTATAGATATTCTATTTTTAGAAAACCGGAATATTCTAATATTTTGTCTGAGGCACAAAGAGAATCTCAGTGCCTCGATATCACTGACATAGAATTGCAGAAGATGAGACCAAAGAAAAAACTGTTCTTTATGCGCGGTCTACTGAGATTTTCTCTCTAGCCCCATAATTACCACTTATGCACAATACAGACCCAACTGTAATTTACTATCACTATATCTGCAGTTCAAAGAAACTTCTTTTGAATTACTCACTTAAAATTTTTAACATTTTTAACATGATCTGGTGTTAGCCTGGGCAGAAATTCCAGTTCTCTTACTGGAATGCACTGACTTATTCTAAAGAGATGTCTTCCAAATATCAAATCCTTGCTAAGTTAACAGCAGATCAGCTTCCAAAGTCCCGTGTACAATGGGGACAGCTATCTCTTGGTGAGCACTGCACAGGCCGCTCTGTGCAGCTTGTGCAGACTTAAGAAACGGACTCCCAGGGGAGCAATCATTTACCCTTCAAACTCGTGCCTGCTCTGGAGGACACTGCTCAGATAGGACGTAAAGCCGGGGGATACCTTTTGCCTGTCTTAGTAAATTTCAATACAATCATGAGTATGGATATACTCGCATTGGTTAATATAATGCAATTTAGCTCAACTTACCCTAAGAAATTAGAATCAAAACCTTGTGGACAGGTTAGCTCAAAAAACAAAACAAAAAACAAAACCAGAATCAACTTTCTAAGTTTTCATCTTTTACAATATTTTAAATGCCCCTACAACAGGCAGTAAGAACTGAGAGAACTTTACCTTTAGTTTATTTCTGGAGAGAAAAAAATAAGACACCGACAGTAAAAGTTCAAGGAATGGTGCAACAAAATTTTCCGTAATGTTTCAGCAGCAAAGTTAACCGATTATACGACAGCCCCGGGGGGCCGAGGGATATAGTGTTATGTGAAACCACCTCGATAGCTCTCTGGATCTAAATACGGAGGGAGACTGTAGGTCTACACAAACTGAGATGCAAAAAAGTCTCTAAAACAGAGTAACACTACCAGCTCGATTAGCACACTAGCAATCTGCTTTTCTGCTCTTTTACATAGTCAGAAAATTTAAGATTTCTTTCTACTTTTGCTCTTGAGCTGGTAACTCTACAGTGAGGTACACTTCGATTCGAATGGAGTGACTGTGAGGAAATCTACCCCAGTGTAGTATGCAGGTGAGTACCCAAAGACAATATAATCCCCACAGAACTGAAAGACAAGAGACTCTTGAAATCAATGGGCCCTTCTTGAAAGACTCAGACTTGTAAGTGGTCTTATTAAAGACAAATAATCCCTAAGAGAAGAAGCAAGTTCTGACAAGAAAGGAAGAGTTACTTAAAATTCTTGGGAAACTCTGAAACATAAATGTAAATGATGGTTAAAAGACCAAAATGTCACTCTTTCACACAACGGGGCTCTTGATGCTAAAATCCTACTAAAGGATGGTCATACCCCAATTTATCACTTAATCAAAGATAAATATAAATATGTAGAAAAATCAGTCATGAGCAAAACCCAGTAAATTACCAATGATTTACAAGAAGTCTGGCTACACCAAGAAAGGCCTGTTTGAGAATGTGGTCTGTAACCTGCCACCTGGTAACAGAACACACAGTGAGCCGTGCAGGACACAGTCAACAGTCTTCTTACCCATCACTTTCAGCAATGTAGACAACAGGAACCCGATTCTCCCCTTCTATGCCCAATTCCTGCTGTAAGGTTTCCAGATTCCGCTCAAAGGTGTCCACACTGCCAATATTAAACCAGACGTATTGCTATAAAAACACAAAAACAAAATATCCTAAGAATGAAAGCAAAATTTAATTTACTGGGAGGTTCAACTTTTAAAGAATTTCTCAGAAATACTGAAAATTCAGAAATTGAAAAAAAAAAAACCAATAATAAAAAACTGGTTTTAATGATGCAGCAATTAAGTTTCACTCAATGAGAACACTTGGCAATCCTTGCAAATAAGCATTTCTTAAGCAATATTCCTTAGTGGTTCTACAACTACAAACTCAAACAAATGAAAAATCTATTTAAAAAGACAATCCTTTTCGTAAATATGTGTCCTTTTCCTCTTCTTCATTTCCCACATATTTCTCAGCTGCCTATTTCCAAACTAAAAACTAATGTGACACAGTAACAACAGCTAAAGTTTACTGAGCACTTACTGTCAGGCATCGTTCTTAGTCCTTTATAGACATGAACTCTTTCAATCTTCAGAACCACCCTAAGTACGTACTGTCACCAGAAGTCACATTCAAAATCTGAACATTAGGAAGGCATCCCACCACCCAATGACAACAGAAGCATTCCTCGCTGTGCCAGACATTACTCTTCTATTCACCTGATTTGGTGAGTTACCGAGGCCCTAGGGAGGAACAGCTGAAGGGTTTGAGGCAACGGCTACTTACCCACCAGCTCTAGTACGTAAGTATTCCCGTTGCTCTAGCTGTTTACTGGGCGAAGATCAGCCCTCTTACCGTCCCCATCACCCCACAGATGAGAAAACTACAGGGGTGACTTCACTTGCCCATGATTACAAATCTGGTAAGAGGCTGGATCCGAACCTAAGCAGTCCTGAGCCAGCGACCCTAACTGGCACGTCACACTGCCTCTCTTCTACCACCACACACATACTTACCACAACAACTCACACTTACAGAGTTTCTAATATACACTCTAAGCACTCAGCGAGTAGTTGCATTTTATAGCACAAAAAGACCCTGTTCCTCCTTAAACCTGCAATCGCTTTCAAAAGATTTTTTTTTTAAATCAAAACAATAAATCTAGGATATAAAACTTCAGACAATTCACAGAAGAGAGTAACATGTCATCCCATATTCCTCCCACCAACCAGTGCTACTGAATGGAGGATATCACTCCGGTATTTCTCTCCAAGTATCTCAAAACAAAAGATGGAGAGTAAGTTTTATAATACATGTACTTCTTCTTAAGTTTTATATTATATAACAACAGTCCTTGCTGAGTTGTTCACTGTCAAAGCTACAAAATTCCTGTGGTTACAAGCCCCCAAACAAGTCAATAATAGGTTAACCCCATGTGACTGAGCATTCCCTTACTTAGCACCTACTATCAGCTGGACACTGTGCTAGCTGTAGGACTCACGTTAGAGATTCGGGGCAGATAAAGGCCCAGCAGCAGATCTGGGAACCAGATCTAGTTAAGAGCCTCTGAGGGTGGGTCCTAGCTCTCCAAGTGATTCTTAGACATACTGAAGTTCGAAAACCCCCACTGAGGTTCATGATCTCATTTAGCACTAAACCCTAAAGAGTTGTTACTGCTGTTCTGATCTTAGCTATAAAGACATCCAAGCTGAGGGGACTTAGGCCATAGAGGTAGTAAAGAGCAGAACTGATCTGAAGCGGGGTCTGTCAGACTCCAACGCCGGTGCTTATACAAGGCAACAACTAACATTGCTACTCTATAAGCAGGACCCTGAAACTCTTCTGTTTCTGAGAGCTCAAATAAAGCTTTTTATCAAACATGCCCTCTGTAGAAAACTAAGGAAATATAAAGAAAATAAGCACCTATAACCTCAACACCCAGGGACACACACTATTAGCAATTTTGATGCCATTCCTTCAAGATTTCATAATATCCCCTTTACAATCTTGAAACACACGCACAATTTTGAAGTTGATATAAAACCTTAACTGCAATATAAAGGAGAAACAAAAAGAAAGCAATTTATAATAAAATAGTATGAATTTCGATACATAAACGTGTGTGCACGCCAATACTAGATGCAAAAACTGCCCTCTAGGGAAGAGGACTGCCCCGCTGAGCCACTACTCTAGCGACGAGGTTAAAGCAAGGGAAATGAGGAGCCCCTAACATTAACCAGGTGCCTACGGTGGACATTTATCGATTTCCAATTTTCCGCTCTAGAAACAATGTTTGGAGGACATCCTGGAATAGACACCTTTACATGCACCCTTAACTATTTCCCTAGCATACAGGCCTAGAAGCAACATTACTGTGTGCGTACTTTCAAAACTGCTGATATACACTGCCAAATTGTCCTCTTGAAAGGGAGTGCCAATTTAATTTCCAGCACTAAAACTCTGAGGAATAGTTCTGGGGAAAAAAAAAAAAAGTAGCGTGGTTATTAATGAACATTTCCATCATAAGGTAAAGAGAGTGGGGAGGGGGGCAGAAATGAAGGCAGGTAAAAGAACTTACTCCTACAAGTGACTGAAATACCAGAGCTACACAGCTTTACAGATACTCCTCTATTTACTGATGTGCTTCAGACAGAGGTGGTCACCATCAGTTCTAGTTTTCCTTAAATGTTGCCCCATCCAGGTAGGATGACTAGGAAACCATTAAGCAAAATCATCTGGAAGGAGGGATGCAACCTGGTAAAAAGGTCTGGCCCTGGGGGAGGGTGGTAAGACAGTAGGACACCAAGGGATTAGGGACAGTCCTCGGGGGCAGGCCTGGGAAAGGCTGGGGATCCCCTGGGAACCTCATTTGCCCCTCTGCTGCCCTCTCCCACAATCCCCTCAATCCGGTCTAGGGTATCCAGAATAGGGTTCAAACTGGTTGGACTGGATACACAAATTATTTTTGAAATGGGAAAAGAAATGTAAATTAAAATAATCCAATATCACATAACAGCTGGGAGAGAGATGCTCAGAATGCTTCTTAAACCAACTTGAAAAAAGCTACTGCAAAACATAGCAATGCAGATTTAACAGTCTTTCCCTAGCCAATCGTTTTCTCAGTCTTGAAAAATCATAGACGATACCGGAACACTGAAAACTGGGATTTCACGGTTTCCTAAATGTACAGCCAAATGATTACCAAAAACCAAACCAAAACTGACCTAGTCTTCGTAACACAACTACATACACAGCGTTCACATTCTCACCCATGTTAGTGAAATTTGCAAGTGCTGTGCTGCCTAATTCTGGTATCCCCAGTGCACAGACCTACTGCAATGTGAGGAATGCTTGCTTTTCAACTCTAAATCTGAAGTTACTTTATAGCTAATCCACATCAATTAATAAAATCATTTACCCCATCAACGGGAGTTTTTCCTGGTGTAAAAGTCACTCGAACAAAACGCTTGTTGACGACTTCCAGTCTGTCTACCTGGAATTTTAAAAAGTTAAATGTTTAGACATAAATTTACAGAAAAGACTTGAGATATTCTCTCAAGCACATTAAAACTGCACATGGTATTTTAGACACACAAAGAAGAACGACAACATAGGGAGGACCCATGCTCCCCTCTCTGGGGTGAAAAATAAAAATGTCACAAACACTTTGAAGCCCCCAGTCATGTCCTCTTCCTAGAGGTGGCCATTCTCGGCATTAGGTACTGACTGTCCCAAAGCATGTCCTGGTGCTTGTGCCACGCACAGACGTAACCCTAAACATACACTCACTGTTGCCTGTTTTTAGGACTTTATTTTTTTTGTAGTTTTTAATTTTATTATGTTAGTCACCATACATCATTGGTTTTTGATGTGGTGTTCCACGATCCATTGTTTTCGTATAACACCCAGTGCTCCATGCAGTTCGTGCCCTCCTTAATACCCATCACCGGGCTAACCAATCCCCCCTCCCCCCTCCCCTCTAGAACCCTGTTTGTTTCTCAGAGTCCATAGTCTCTCATGGTTCATCTGTTTTTAGGACTTTAAAAATGGTCCTGCGTGGTATATATTCTTCTGTAACTTTTTTCCCCCTTCCTATCCTATTTGTGAGGTTCATCCTTGCTGACATGTCAGTTCTGCATAGTATTCCATTTCATGAGCACACCCCAAGTTATTTATCCATTCTCCTGTTAACACTTAGGCTGTTTCAAAACATTGGCTACACTAACAATACTGTTATGAACAGTCCTGCCGCATATATCCTCTTGGGCACATCTTCAAAAATTTCTCTGGACATGTACCTGTAGATACAGTAAGGCTTGGGTTGCAAGATATACGTACTTTACTAGACACCGTGAAACTACTCTCCAAAGTGGCTCTCCAATTCACACTGCACAACAAAATATTCCTATTGGTCTACATCCTCACTTGCTATTAGAAGACTTTAATTTTTGCCATTTTATGGGTATAAAATGATAGAAACTTATTTTTTTAATGTCCTAATTATACAGGGTTTTTAAGAACACTAAAAACCTCATTCCAAAGTTCTGAGTTGACTTGGAGCATGAGCCCTTTGGAAGAGGCTTGTTTCCTGCTGTCATTCAGTCTGCTTTGGCAGAAGTCTGAAAGGTACAAGTCAAAACTGGAAAGTGAGGGAGCCCCGGGTAATTCCAGGAGGAGCCTGATTTCAAAGAACCAGTGGGTCCAAAAGGAGATGCTTCTCTGGAGAATCTTCCTCAAAGCCCTGTCACCACACTCGAAGGATGGCTACGGCCCCCTCCATACACGGACACAGTTACTTCTTAGAAAGAAGGCTCTCCCAACAACTGGGATACATACATAAGTATCTTGGCTTCCACAAGAAACATTTGCCTCAAAAATCCGAGTAAATAATCGATTCCATTTTTTCCATCCTCACCTTACTGTACAACCTTTAAAAATAACTTTTGAGGGGCACCTGGGTGGCTTAGTCAGTTAAACCTCTGACTCTTGATTTCAGCTCAGGGCATGATCCAGGGTCCTGGGATCCAGCCCTGGGTTGGGCTCTGTGCTCAGTGCTGAGTCTGCTTGTCCCTCTCCCTCTGCTCCTCCCCCTGCACACTCTCTCTAATAAATAAATAAAACCTTTAAAAAAAATAAAAATAAAAAATAAAAATAACTTTTGATTCTTTATGCTACCAGTACGTATTACTATCTCACCTTTATTTTTTCCATTTCAATGATGAAAAGCCCCGTACTGAGCGGTTAAATAATTTCCCCACAGTGACAGAGCAGCTTGGTTCTCTCACTATCACTTCACTTCATCAATTCTAAGGTGGACATTTTTCATATTTTAACTTCTGAGAAATTAGGATATGTCTGACAGTTGGTATTACTTTATAGTTTCATTGGCAGCTTACTAAATTTTTCTGAGGAATACATAAAATAATGTGTCTTACAGTCCACAGCATCTAAAAGATACTGGAGTAGAGGCTCACTGGGTAAAGACCTGCTGGTAGTGACAAAGGCTCCTAGGCAGCCCTGCCTGGGCCCCAACTGAGAGCCCATCTGCTCTCACTTTCAACATTTATCACTTATTTACCAATTCCAAGCCCCTGGGAGATTAAGAGCCCTGGAGGCATAAAGGAGCCGGAGAGGGTGGCACACTCCAGCAAGGGGGAAGAGGTGACCGAGAAGCATAGGAAAATGATAAAATGATGAAACTAGATGGAGGATGGCGGGAGCAAGTCAAAAGCTAGGTTCTAGTAGAAGTGAAAGAAAAGGATTTTGCGGTAAATGTGGGGACAGCTGGGCCAAAACAAACAGGGTTCTTGGTTGCAAGTACTTTCTCCAACATTAAAAAAAATTCAAGATGAGGGGCGCCTGGGTGGCTCAGTCGTTAAGTGTCTGCCTTCAGCTCAGGTCATGGTCCCAGGGTCCTGGGATCAAGCCCCGCATCGGACTCCCTGCTCCGTGGGAAGCCTGCTTCTCCCTCTCCCACTCCCCCTGCTTGTGTTCCCTCTCTCGCTGTCTCTCTCTCTGTCAAATAAATAAATAAAATCTTTAAAAAAAAAAAAAATCAACAGGAGAAGCTCGGTAACTAGTTGACTGTTACTTTATTGGTGCAATCTACCGAATTTCACCTTTGGAACCACTATAAACCACCCATCCCATAAAATACTTACTACTCCTTTGGAAAGATAGTTATTGACAAAGTCCTTCCATGTGATTTCTCTCCCGGAGCTCCTGAACAGGAAGTAAAACATGACTCCACCCCAAAACAGAGCAGTCCAGAGAAAGTACATCCTGAATTCCTTGTCATCCCATGGAAAGTCACCCTGGGCAAAGAAGGAGACAGTCTCTGTCAAGAACGGAATGTCACAGTATGATCTAGGCTATATTGGACACAAATCCCTCCCAACCTCTCCTGGGGCCACCCCAGACCCTCCAAATTAATACACAGCCTGGAATCACACCTTCTGGAATCTGGACCACCAGTGAGAATCATCTTTCTTGCCACCTCGTTTTCCACCGCCACCAACTCCTCCTCCAGAAGGGCGTGGGGTAGCAGCTGGCTTTGAGTCTGTTCATCAACAGAGAGCACACAGAGCAGCACCGCAGAATTTCAACTCTCTCAACAAAGTTCTCATTACTATGGTTTAATAAATGACTTACTACAAAAGCTCTCACAATAACTTGTTAATCTTTTTTCATTAAGATATATCCAGAGCCAACTATTAATAGCTGTGACCTCTTTGTTGTATTATATGCTTAGAAATAAATGTAGGCCTTTTATTTCTGGGAATCAGGAATAGGAAACCCTTCAGCGCCCCTTGTCTCAGCTACTCATCAACCAGCAATTCTGGGAATCTGCCTGTGTGTTAGTGTCGTGACAATACTCAGTATTCAAAGTTTAGATGACTTTGAAGGAAATACTGTTTCACTCTGTTATAACTCACATACACGTCTTTGATGTTACTATAAAATAAGAAGGCAGAGTTTCATCAGGCACACACTAAATGTTAGCTTCGTTATTTGATAGTTACATCGGGTCTTTGTAAGGCAATCCAATCCTGTACAACAAGATTTAAACCAAGTATAACAGTCACTGAGCACAGAACAGCTATCCTCCTGGGAGACAGAAGCATCAATTTTGTTGTTACTGTGGCTTTAGAACAAGTTTTGACCTTGACTGAGGAATCAGAAGCATATCTAGGATTGGAATCCAGTTTTTCTTCAAATTACCTTGACACCTTGAGATTTTACTTAATCTCTTTGTGCTCTTGACAAGTAGGAACAATAACATGTGAATAAAGCCATCTTCCCTATTTTACAGGGTCGTATCAAAGATGAGAGGGAAGTTCCAGTCTTTGAAAAAAATCAAAACATTATAAAATCCAAAAAAAAGGTCTTCTTGTGAAAGAGCTTATGGCAACTCTTCAGTCTGCTATGAGAAAGGAGACTAACAGAGAGTTAGCATTTGAGGGAGCTTGCCAGCACTTTACACACACTATCCCGTGATACCTGCACAATACGCCAACAACCTGGCAAGTATGCTAGTATACTCATTTTACAGATAAAATGGTGTAGCTTAAGAAACTTCGTAAATAACTGGTTGCAGTGTTAAGTGACATTGAGACAGTGACAGAGTTGTGTTTGAGGTGAAGGTAAACGAATTCCTGAATGCCCACTTGAAGGTAAAAAGGAGGTGCTCCCCTTTCCCACTCCCATGAAGTGAATACTGTTAACAGTTTCTTCTGTAAGCAAGGCATAATTTTGATAATGGACTACCAAAAAAACAAAACAAAAAACCCCAACAACCAAAAAATCTTACCCACATAAAATTAGTTTGTAAGAATCTGAAAATTCGTCACTGTTACAGGTTGATATGTGTCCTCCCCCAAATTCATATGTTGAGAGTCCTTGCCCACTGTGATCTTATTTGGAAATAGGGTCTTTAGAGAAAAATAATCAAGTTTAAAATGAGGTCATATGGGTAGATCCTAGTCCAATATAATTTGCATTCTTATAGAAAGAGTAAATTTGGACACAGAAATGCACAGAGAGGAGGAGGCAAGGGAGAAGACAGTCACCTGTAAGCCAAGGAGAAAGGTCTGAAACAGAGCCTTCCCTGGTGACCCTCAGAAGAAACCAACCCTGCCAACACACTGATCTTGGACCTCTGGCCTCCAGAATTGTGAGATGCATGTTTGTGCTGCTTAGGACGCCCAGGTGTGGAGCTTTGTTACAGCAGCCCTGGGAAACCAATATGCCATTAACACCCTCCACCCCCCCACTTTTCTCCCCTCTGACAGAATCACAAATACTACTCTAACATCTTCAACTACGGTGAAGCAACCCCTCTACCGTGCAGGATGAGAGACTGCAGCTACCTAGCACGGAGTTCCTGACGTGTTCACCCCACCATGATGCACACAAGGAGCTTCTGCACCCCTGTCTTAGGTGAGGCAGGGTCTGAGAGAGGCGAGCCCTACCTGAAATGAGGCGCAGGGCTGGGAAACAGAGTACAGCGCATTTCTAAAGTTGTTTGACAAGACTCCTACTACTGGGACAGGACAAAGTAACACATATGCAAAAAGTATGCAACAGGCTATATTTTAAAAATGGACCTATTACCCTTAATCTGCCCCTAAACCAAGATAAAAAGATGAGCCACCGTGCTCCTGGGAAACCCTGTACAAACTGCCCACGTCTCTAGACAGGCCACACTAGCGCTTCTCCCTTCTCTTAGCCCCTAGCCTTGCTTTCACTCCCTGCATTCTCTGAGCATGTATTTGTCTCTTCGACTAGATCCAAGTTCATTTAAAAAACAAGGGCTGTATTATAGTTTTCCTTACATTTCCCTAAAAACAAAGATGCCAACTAAAATGTGCTGGGCATTGTGCTAAATGTTATCACATGTGTGAAAGGGGGACAGGAGACTCAGGGCCTACACAGTCCTCCCAGCCACCAAGCTCTAAGAAACCCTATCTGAAACCCTAAGCTAAGACAGGCTCTGAGGAACAATTTGAAAAACACTGCACTATATCAAAATATGTGCCAGATAAAAATGCATGTATTAGGTTTCTAAGATTTTTCTTAACGATTTAGATGTGTAAAATACATTGACCAAATTTGGAGTTAAATATGACTGGTCATCTCTAAGGTGAACTTAATTCAATTTGAAAAATGACAAGAAAACATGAACAGAAAAATTAGGTGAAATGAAACAGGGTCTGTAGAACTTTGCATGTACTTGTAACCTTCCACTTCAGAACTGCCTTAAGAGAACACTTTCTTTGTTCAGCGAAAACGATCGGCAACATCATATACTAGAGGAAAGTAGTAAGTTCAAGCATAATCTTTTTAAAAGGTACCTTTTTTTTCTCCGGTAACTTCTTTAGGTTCACTAGCTTTTTTCCCATTTTTTCCATTAGGAAAGTATTTTTCAAATCCTGTTAGAAAAAGAAAAAAAATACATACCCTCAAACTAAAATTCATTAGGTTTTATGTCTATATGTTCATTTTTGAAGCTGATACCTCGTTAAAACGCTTATGCTCAAAGTATAGCATTTCTTGTGTAGAAGTAATTCAACGCTTAAATAACCAGAGGTGTTAAAGAAAAAAGCCTCATTTACATGCCAATTTCATTACCTACAAAAGTGTTATAATTGAAGGGGATACATTTTCATCACTGCAATCAGATAGAAGTAGGTAGGGGGTGGTTTACAGGAGACAGAAGTTGAGTCAACCTGAAACAACAGCTATGCATCTATTAGTAAACACCTGCTCCTGGTACATTTTTTATTTTTAAGATTTCATTTATTTATTTTTTTTTAAATTTTTTTAAAAATTTTTTTTTTTAAAGATTTTATTTATTTATTTGAGAGAGAGAATGAGATAGAGCATGAGAGGGGGGAGGGTCAGAGGGAGAAGCAGGCTCCCCGCTGAGCAGGGAACCCGATGCGGGACTCGATCTCGGGACTCCAGGATCATGACCCGAGCCGAAGGCAGTCGCTTAACCAACTGAGCCACCCAGGCGCCCAAGATTTCATTTATTTGAGAGAGTGAGAGAGCACTAGCAGGAGGAGGGGCAGAGAGAGAGGGAGAAGCAGACTCCCCATTGATCAGGGAGCCCGATGCGGGGCTTGATTCCAGGACCCCAGGACCATGACCTGAGCCCAAGGCAGCTGCTCAACCGACTGAGCCACCCAGGCACGCTGCTCCTGGTACATCTTTAACAAGAATATATAACATTATGATCACACTGAGTGTGCTTACCTTTTGGAGGTCGAGAACAGAATCTTTGATAAGCAGCAATTACATCTGTCAGAAGAGAATTTCTGCTGGTTGTTGCCTGAGTTGTAGCATATCGATAAAGCTGCAACATGACATATAAATAAAAGCATAAAAATTATATCAAGATAAAAGATTTAAGAGGACTTCTTCTCCTAATATCTCAAAGTGAATGACATGTTTCTCCCCTCACACTAGCATAGGGGATTCCCCCCTTTAAAAGGGAGGCCTCCAGTTGCCCAGGATGGTGCCACTCTATTCCAGCAACCGAACCAGGAGACATAAATTATGATCCAGAAGACAAGAATACTTCAAAATCCTGCCTAGGTTAGAACTGTGGCCCAATTACTATTCTCCACCAACACATTCACTTTGGCATTGTTTATCAATTTGTAGCATTCAAAAGACAAACTGACACAGAAAATCTGCTCCTTCATGCTGTCTTGGTTTGTAGGGTCTATAAAACTACAAGACTATTCACCTGAAATTACAACAGCACTGCTTGCAAACCTTGCAAACATAATACTAAATTCATCTTAGTTCCAGGATAAGGAAGTTATGGTCCGACATCACTGATAATCCTTAAAAAAAAATCCTTACACTAGTAACATTTGCTAAAGGTATTTGATATATTGTCATTCTGGTGAGAGTGCAGGTTATTCAAGTCCCATTACAGACACATCTCTGCTTTAAGTAACGTATGTTGCTATAAAGTTATTTTTTAAATACAGTCTAGGTAAATTGAAGTATAACATAAACAAACTGAACAAGCTCCCTATTAAATTTTTAGGTTCACAATTAAAAGCAAGGTGCATTGAGGGGATACATCTGAATTTGGCAGTGAAAAACTTCAAGTTATCCTATCCCTTGGCAAAGTGAAAAATCATCACCATTTCTGGGGAGAACAAACTTTTAAATACAGATGAGAATGTTTAAAGAGAAGTTCATCTGAATGAGTATCCACCAGCATTGCCCCATTTATGATCTTATGAGGAAAAGAGAACATCACAAAACCACATCTGTCAGGATGACTATAATCAAAAGACAATAAAAAGCGCTGGTGAGAATGTGGAGACTGTGGACAAAGCAGAGCCCTGGGGCACTGTTGGCGGGAATGGGAAGCAGTGCAGCCACTTTGAAAAAGTTAAATGCAGAGTTACCATGTGATCCAGTCAGTCCACTCCTACTCAAGGAAATGGAAAACATGTCCACACAAAGCGTTGTACATGAATGTTCATAACAGCATTATTCACAAGAGCCAAAAAGTGGAAACAACCCAAATGTCCATCAAGTGATGATGAAGAGATAAACGTGGTATACTCAAACAATGGAATATTATTCAGCCATAAAAATGAAGCGCTGATACATGCTACCACATGGATAAACCTTAAAAACATTATGCTAAATTAAAGAAACCAGACACAAAAGGCCACGTTATATGATTCCACCATTATGAAATGTCCGAAACAGGCAAATCCAGAGACTGTAGATTAGCAGTTGCCTAGGGCTAGAGGACTGGTTGTAGAGAAATGGGGAGTGACTCTAATTTGATTATAAGGCTTCTTTCTGGGGTGATGAAATGTTGTGGACTTAGATAGTAGTACGGTTGTATAACCATGTGAATATACTAAAAAGCACTGAATTGTACAATAAAAATGATTAATTTTACGGGATGTGAATAAAAAAGTCAATAAAGAATAAAGCATGAGCTGATTTAACTTCAAATTAATATACAATTCTACACAGCAAAATAGGACAGAAACACTGACACTGATCTTGGTTGACAGCAATGCTGGTCTGACAGAATTTGGAGCTTCTGTTGTGTTAGGCCCTCCCTGACCCCTGGGAACACTTGGCCTATGAAACCACCACTGATAATAAATAAGAATGTATCGTAAGTGAATAAAGCTTTTCCAATACCAAATCCATAAAGGGTACAGATTAAAATGACCTGTTAGTCAAGGTGGATAAGATAACAAGTCACACTGATGCACTGAGCCATCTATCCAGGCCACACACTGGTAAGTGGTGGGGGTCTGGAAGTCAGAACCAATCCCTACCTCTAAGAAACTCAGAAGTGCAAGGGAGAGAGTCCTGAGAACAAACCTATTACAGGATGGTATAATACACAGAGCAATACAAAACCTCTAAGTATATGCAACAGAGGTAGCACAGAGAAAGTGATCACATGTTCAAGGGACCTACGGATGTTTTAAGAAAAGCAACATCTAGGCCTGGGATTTGAAGGACCTGTAATCACTAGGCAGACGGTGTCAGAACTTTTAATTTTGTTAAAGCTAGAAATCTGAATTTTTTGAACGACACATCTCATATTAGGAACTTCAGTTACACATCTGTAACGGGAGAAAACAACTAGTTCCCAGGGATGCCACCATGAGGATCAAATGTAATAATGTATGTAAAAGCACTGTTAAAATCGTATGGTGATACCTAGATTTAAATTACCACTCCCAATTATTCTGAAAGCCACTGGAGAGTAAGGGTTCTTTACATCACCATATAAAGTAAGTCTTTACGTCACCGTAAAGTATAGAATCGGGCCCAAGGTATGTACTCCATAAACATTTATTGACCGATAAACCTTCTATTTTCAAATTGTGTTGACCTGGAATACCTCTAGCAATAATCCTGTAACTGCTTTTAACTCTGAGGTTATTTTCTCTCAGAGCACCATCAATGAAACTTTTCTCTGCTTATCTAGTCCAAACCCACTCAAAGGATAAGATAAAAAGTATCAACTCACAAAATTTAAGTTTAGAGTATCTCATATTAGAGGATTAGCTTTTATGTTTGACAGTATGAGCACTTTTTAGCTGCTTTTTCATCAGTCCTTATTCCTCTGAGCATAAAACCTGAGAATGACATCTCATACCAAAATCTTTTCCCCAGAAAAACTGTGAGAATCATACTTCTGTGTCTGACCTTAACAGCAGCACAAACCTAAAGGCAAATCTTCTTTCAGGTAGCACAGCAATGCCCTAACAGCCCCAGAGAGATCTTCTAAGCAACACCAGGGAATGTGTCACAGACCCTCCAATCAATCAGCTACTGCTATCGGCACAGGAGACTTCCTTATACCTCAGCATCCAAGACTCACAGGACAATAGTGCCACTCAACAGAGAAACGGGGTTCAGATAAGATTTCTGACATCGTAACTGCAAACTCACAAGGCAGATCCCTATCTGTTTCTTGTCTGAGTCCAATATCCACTAGGGACAAAAGGAGAGGGCAAGGTAAGATGGCAACACGGATGCAATGCAAATGTTAGGCCCAGTGCAGGGCAGTAGAGTAAGAAAAAGATGAAGATACTCCAAGATTGGCAAGACTCTCAAAGAAAATCATGAATGCAGGTGCCATTAATATCCCATTTTAAGTGGAGAGGCTGAGATAATTTCCCCAAGGGCATCTGGCGAGTAAGTGACAGATTCCTGTGTTCCATGTTCTTTTGCCCCTATGCCCCTAAGTAAACCAATGCAAGGCTGGTCTCTAAAAAACCCGCAGACAGCAAGAGACCGTGTGGCCGAAAAAGCTGGTATCGACTACCCACCCGTTACATGAACCTTTACTTGACAGATTACTGCCACTGTTCCGTGAGAACACATTATCATCACTTCAGAAAAACGTACTACCGTAGCCCACACGTTGGAGCCCTGTATCTGCTCGTTACCACCAACAGAGAAATAGCCGCCTACTGAAGACAGGCCTTCTTACGCAACAAAAAACACATTCTCTACTCTGAGGAGGTGATGTTGTTAATAATCATAGTTAGTATGTATTATCTACTATGTGCCAGACCCAGAATGGCAGCAATAGCCCCATTCAACAGATGGAGAAATGGAGGCTCAGAGAGGTTGAGTAGCTTACCTCCAAAACCTGTGCTTTCATTAAATCATGCTCACGTTGCCAACCCTTAAAACACATGCACGACAGCTGCTACTTTCCAGTACTATGAAAGCAGGTGAAAGAAAGGCAACCTATACTGGTGATATGACAGACAAGTTCCTTAACGTTTCTAGGTCTCAGCTGCTCTTTCTGTGTATGTGCTGCCGAAGTGAGCACTCAGCTGCTCTATCTGTAAAATGGGTTCGTCCTTAATGAAGTCAGAGGACCCTCCCAGATGATCTTTTTGAAGCTTCCTGACGCACAAGTATCTGATTCTGTTTTCAAAAATCCAATTCTATACCCAGGGTTTGACACGCACAGGGTGCTTACGGGATAAATGATCTGAAACGCTGGGGCGACCCAGCATTTAACACGCAGCGCACGCGGCCTCACGAACCCGCCCCGGACGCCCGGACAGGCGCCAGGGCGCCCGGGGGCCGGTGACCTTGACACCCTGCTCTCCCGGGCCGGAAGCAGGCCCGAGGGTCGGGCCGGGGGCGGAGGACGCTGGGCCCCCGGGACTCACCGTCCGAAGGCAGGAGCGGTCGGTGGGGCCCATGCGGCCGCCAGGCACGAGCAGTGGGGGCAGGCCGCGGGGCCAGCAGCCTCCCCGGCCCCAAAGCCGCAGGCAGCGGTGCGCCATGGCCGCCGGCGCCGCCTGCTCGGGCCGGGGACGCTGCGCAGGCGCGGCTCTGCGGCCGGCGGGCGGGCAGGCGGCTACGGACGGCCTCGGGCCGCGGGAGACGGCTCGGAACACAGTCAACGAACCGCGCTGCTGGTCTCCGACTCACAGGCGGGCTCACGCTCTCGACGCGCGCGTCTTCTCCCGGCCCCACCCCCCGGCGTGCTGACGTCAGCCGTACAGCGGGCGGGCCCTTGGGTCGAGGGCCGCTCCTACGGCTCCGAAGCGTCCTCGCTCCACTGGAAGCGGGGTCGAAGGAGGAGGAGCGTGGAGGGCGAGGAACGGCGGTGGGCGGGGCAGAAGGGAAAACGCAGGGGATGCAGGGTTGGAGGCGGGGCTTAAGGGAGGCGTGCGGAGGGCGGGCGTGAAGATGGGCCTAGAGGGAGGAGCGTGAGGTTGGCGGGCGGGGCAGGAGAGGAGCGCCGGGGCGGAGCTAGAGGCGAGGCTGAAGGGAAGGAAGGCGAGCCGAGGTCGGGCTGGAGGGCGGGGCCAGCCGGGACCTGGGGGGAGAGAGCCGCAAAGGCTGTTGGGGCCCAAGATAAATGGACCTTTCCCTGTTTGGGTTGGGCAGGAGGCCATTTTCTACATTTTAGGCGTTCACTCTCGGTGTGTCACTCGTGAAATATTTTATTGAGCGACTAATCAGTGGCGGCATCGTCCAAGGCTCTGGAGATGCTAAAACACCCCAACCTTAGGAGAGCAATGGAAATAATCACGAATCAGTGAGCTAAATGCAATAATAAAAGTGCTGAGACTGTGACATCTAGCTTGGGCCCATCGGGAACCATTTCAAAGAGAAATGATTTTCAGATGAACTCAATGGAACTGCACGCTGTTTCGCACACCGTGACTGTGGAGTAGAGAGAGGACTTTGGAGCCAAGTTTTACATCTCGCTCTGTTTTCTAATAGCTTTGCCAGTAGTATGTATGATATAAAAGGTAGCTGATGTTATGGATGGGGAGGAAAAGGAAAGGCAGGAGATGAGCCTGAGGAGGGGTACAAAGGTAGCATCAGAAATTTATTGACATATGCGCATATACAGATACGAAAAAACTGGAAGAACAGACACTAAAATGGTAATGAAATTTCTTACCTGTCACAGGGGCAAAATCCAAAATATTGACAACTCACTCTACTGGCAGGATTTCTCAGAAATAACTGGTGGGCACAAGAATGACAGTGTATAGAAGGGAATTTGGCAATGTCTGCCTAAATGTCAAATGCATGTGTTCTTTAACCCGGATATTCCATTTATGGAAATGAACCCTAAAGACGAGCCTGCACACATATAAAATGCTGTGAGCACAAGGGTAATAATTACAGCATTGTTTGTAGTCACAATTATTGGAAATAACTCGAATATTCATCTATAGGGGACTGTTTAAAACAATGGTAAATTCATACCATTATTAAAATTTTTTTATTGAAGTATTATTAACACAGTATCCAGTGAGTTTCAGGTGTACATGATGGTCAATATTTTTATACATTATGAAATGATCCCCATTAATCTCATTACCATCTATCACCATACAAAGTTATTACAATATTACTGACTATATGATCTATGCAGTACATTATATTTCCATGACTTATTTTATAACTGGAAGTTTGTACCTCTTAATCCCCTTCACCTATTTCACCCACCCCTCAACCCTTCCCTTTCTGGTAACCAACAGTTTGCTTCCTGTACATGAGTCCGTGTCTGTTTTGTTTTGTTTGTTTTCTTCTTTTGATTCCACATATAAGTGAAATCTTCCCTGTCTGCCTTATTTTACTTGGTATAATACCCTCTAAGTCCATCCATGTTGTTGCAAATGGTGAAATTTCATTCTTTCTTATAGCCGAATAATATTCATATACATATATATACCACATCTTTATCCATTCATCTATCAATGGACGCTTAATATGCTTCTATATCTTAGCTATCATAAATAATGCTGCAATGAATATAGGGGTGCATATATCTCTTCTGATTGGTGTTTTGCTTTCTTTTGATAATACCTAGAAGTAGAATTGCTGGATCATATGGCATTTCCATTTTTTAAAAATTTTTTAAATTTTTATTTTTTTTAAAGATTTTATTTATTCATTTGTCAGAGAGAGAGAGCGCACCCAAGCAGGGGTAGTGGCAGGCAGAGGGAGAAGCAGGCTCCCCGCTGCACAGGGAGCCCAATGCGGGGCTCAATCCCAGGACCCTGGGATTATGACCTGAGCCAAAGGCAGACACTTAGCCGACTGAGCCACGCAGGCGTCCCTCCATTTTTAATTTTTGAGGAACTCCACACCATTTTCCACAATGGCTGCACCAGTTTACATTCCCACCAACAGTGTACAAGAGTTCCTTTTTCTGCCCATCCTCACCAACACATATTATTTTTTGTTTTTTTGATAATAGCCAATCTGACAGGTGTGAGATGACATCTCATTGTGGTTTTGATTTTCATTTCCTTGACGATTAGCGATATTGAACATCTTTTCATGTGCCTGTTGGCCATCTGTATGTCTTCTTTGAAGAAATGTCTATTCATGTCTTCTGCTCATTTTTAAATCAGGTTATTTGGGCTTTTTTTTTTTTTTAAGATTTTATTTATTTATTTGACAGACAGTGAGAGAGGGAACACAAGCAGGGGGAGTGGGAGAGGGAGAAGCAGGCTCTCCGAGGAGCAGGGAGCCCGATGCGGGGCTCTATCCCAGGACCCTGGGATCATGACCTGAGCCGAAGGCAGACGCTTAATGACTGAGCCACCCAGGCGCCCCCTGTTATTTGGGCTTTTTAAATATTAAGTTGGGTAAGTTCCTTATATCTTTTGGATATTAACCCCTCATCAGATACATGACTTGCAAATATCTTCTTCCATTGAGTAGGTTACCTTTTCATTTTGTTGATGGTTTCCTTCACTGTGCATTTTAGTTTAATGTAATCCCATTTATTTATTTTAGCTTTTGTTGCCCTTTTGCCTAAAGGGACAGGTCCAAAAAGTTATTGCTGAGGCTTATGTCAAAGAGCTTACTGCCTCTGGTTTCTTCTAGGAGTTTTATGGTTTTAGGTCTTACATTCAAGTCTTTAATCCATTTTGAATTTATTTTTGTATATAGTGTAAAATAGTAATCCAATTTCATTCTTTTGCATGTAGCTGTCCAGTTTTCCCACCACCATTTACTGAAGAGACTGTCTTTTCCCTACTGTATATTCTTGTCTTCTTGAGTTGTTTTTTGGGGGGGCTCTTTGTTCTATTCCATTGATCTATGTCTGTTTTTGTGCCAGTACCAAGCTGTTTTGATTACTATAGTTTTGTAGTATACTTTGAAATCAGGGATTGTGATACCTACAGCTTTGTTCTGCTTTCTCAAGATTGTTTTGGCTATTTGGGGTCTTTGCGGTTCTATACAAATTTTAGGATTAGTTATTCTTTGTTCAAAATGCTATTGGTATTTTGGTGGGGATTACATTGAATCTGTAGATTACTTTGGGTAGTATGGACATTTTTTCTTTTTTTTATATGTTAACTTCAGTATAGTTAACATGCAGTGTTATATTTGTTTCAGGTGTACAATATAGTGATTAAACACATCCATACATCACCCAGTGCTCATCACAGCAAGTGCACTCCTTAATCCCCATCACCTATTTCATCCATCCCCCCACATAGTATGGACATTTTAACAATATTAATTCTTCTAATCCATGAGCATGAAATATCTTTCCATTTGTGTCATCTTCAGTTTCTTTTGTCAATGTATTATAGTTTTCAGAGTACAGGTGTTTTGTTTCACTTCCTTGGTTAAATTTATTGCTAGGTACTTTACTCTTTTTGGTGCAATTTAAAATGAGATTGTTTTCTTAATTTCTCTTTCTGATAGCTCATTATTAGTATATATAAATGCAACCAATTTCTGTATGTTATTTTTGTATCCTGAGACTTTACTGAACTCATTTATTAGTTCTAATAGTTTTTTTGGTGAAGTCTTTAAAGTTTTCTATGTATATATCATGTAATCTCTAAATAGTAGTTTTACTTCTTCCCTTCCAATTTTGTTGCCTTCTATTTCATTTTTTCCCCTAATTGTTGTGGCTAAGACTTCCAATACTATGTTGAATAAAAGCAGTGAGAGCAGCATTCCTGTCTTGTTCTTCATCTTAGAGAAAAAGCTTTTTTAGCTTTTCCCCATTGAGTATGATGTTAGCTGTAGGTTTGTCATCCATGGCCTTTATTACATTGAGATTCATTTCTTCTATACCCACTTTGTTTCTTCCATACCCATTATGTTGAGGTACATTTCTTGTATACCCACTTTATCATAAATTGATGTTTAATTTTGCTGTTTTTCTGCATTCATTGAGATAATCATATGATTTGTATCCTTCATTTTTTTTAATGTGGTATATCACATTGATTGATTTGTACATGTTGAACCACCTTACATCCCTGGAATAAATCCCACTTGATCATGGCGTCTGCTTCTTTTAATGTATTGTTGAATTCAGCATGCTAGTATTTTGTTGAGGATTTTTGCATTTATGTTCATCAGGGATATTGGCCGGTAATTCTCTTTTTTTGCATGGTGTCTTAGTGTTGGGTATCAGGGTAATGCTGGCCTCATAAAATTGAGTTTAGAAGCCTTGCTTCCTCTTCAGTATTTTGGAGTAATTTGAGAAGAATAACTACTAATGCTTTTCTTAACGTTTAGCAGAATTCATCTGAAGCTGTCTGGTCCTGGACTTCTGTTTTTCAGGAGTTTTTAAATTACTGCTTCAATGTCATTACTTGTAATTGTCACTACTATTCAGATTTTTTATTTCTTCATGATTCAGTCTTGGGAGATTGAGTGTTTCTAGGAATTTACCATTTCTTTTTGATTGTCTAATTTGTTGGCATATAATTTTTCATTGTAGTCTCTTATAATTCTTTATATTTCTGTGGTGTCCATTATAATTTCACCTCTTTCGTTTCCAATTTTATTTATTTGGTTCCTCTCTTTTTTTTTCTTGATAAATCTGGCTAGAGTATTACCAATTTTGTTTATCTTTTCAATGGACCAGGTTTAGTTTCATTGATCTTTTCTATTGTTTTTAAAAATATTTATTTCTGATCTGGTCTTTATTATTTCCTTCCTTCCACTAATTTTGGGCTTTGTTTGT